CGCTGTTGATGAAGACAGTAAGCCACTGAGAGAGAAGAGGGTATAGTATAAACAAGCTTTGCTGTGAGCGGAGGAATAGTTTCAGTTCACTATTCAGTAGTTTCAGGACTTCTTCCAAACTGTCTTCTTGACCTATAGGCCTGCTGCTGTCTTGACGTTGGTAGTCTAGTGGTCAAGCTACTGGATTCGTAATCGTGAGGTTGCGGGTTCAGGGGTTCAAACCTCAAGTCCGATGATGTGTCCTTGGGAAAGGCAATATGCACGAATTTTCTCTCCACTTCACCCAGGTGTGAATGGGTATCCGGCCATAGACAGTGGAGATCTTCTCCTTATATTAGTAGTAGTAGTAGTTTTAGCGCCAGTAAAATGGCAACTTGCACTGTATGCTTCCCTGAAAGTTGAGATTTTTTCAGGATGCGCTGGAGTAATAATAAACTAAATAGATTGTAAAGCGCATAGAGCTCGCCGTTAAGCGGGACTTTGTGCTATACAAATGCTAACTATTATTTTTGTTATTATTATATGTGCGCTGAACAGGACCTTTTTCTTTAAAAACTATATCTCTTGTAAAGGAAAATCTCATTATCATTTCATTACTACTACTATCAATATTTGACATTGTTAAAAGTATAGCTAGAGTCGTTTGGGTTAGGGTTTTTTTTATTGATACTGATATAATCATGCTCATACTCATAACATACAAAATATAATAAATAGATAAATACTTGGAAAACTACAGAACCTCGAACTGTTTTGTTTTTTTGCTTGTTGGATATTTTTTTTCAAAGACAGACAAAATCCTGCAGATGCATCCTTCACTGAGTAAACAAACTCTAGAGAGCCAACACTTGCGAAAACGTTTAAAGTTTTTGGCCTGCTTAACACCGTTGCCACACATATGCGCGCTGTGTGTTTCTTTGTGTGTGTGTGTGTGTGTGTGTGTGTGTGTGTGTGTGTGTGTGTGTGTGTGTGTGTGTGTGTGTGTGTGTGTGTGTAAGCTTATTTGTTGGTGGATAAGTAGAAAGACAAGACGTTAGCCATTTTGATTGCTAGATCGACGGGAAAGCAAGAGAAGAGATAGAAAGATACCGAAAGTTTTAGAAAGACATGATGATTTGTGATATATCGGTAACCTAGAGCTAAATAAATATATTTTTTAAAGATATATAATGGGAGTGCTTATTTAGGCCACATATGGCCTAAATAAGGTAAGGGAGGGGGGTTTAGCTTATTTAGGCCACAGTGGACTGTGGCCTAAATAAGGTAAGGGAGGGGGGTTTAGCTTATTCAGGCCACAGTGGACTGTGGCCTAAATAAGGTAAGGGAGGGGGGTTTAGCTTATTCAGGCCACAGTGGACTGTGGCCTAAATAAGGTAAGGGAGGGGGGTTCAGCTTATTTAGGCCACACATGCTCAAACTACGCTTTTCAGGCAACTGAGTTCGTTCCACTTTCATAATGGTGCACCTTTCTCATTTAGTACGGTTTTGTCTCAGTGTACAACTTATAAATCATAACCATAATGAATATTGTAAAGAACAAAGCACAATACGCAAAATTTTGCTCAATCCCAATGGTTTGAATGAGGGCCAGATTTTTCCTTCATGGAGGGGCAAAAGCTAGGCTACCATTTTGGCACACTTTGGTCAAGTGAAAAGGTCAAATCCTCCGAATGGACTTCCGGGTTAAATTTGGGGTATAAAAAGTGTGTACACTACGTGGCTGAGTCAAAGTTACACTATCTCTGTCTCGTAGTAGTACATGTAGGCTAGTAGGCCTAGTAGTAGTAGTAGCAAAGATCGTGTAGAGAATATTTGGTAGTAGATTCTATCTATAGGCAGTTTAGTGAACGTGCTCGCAGCAAAGCGAATCGGCCATCGATAAGCCCCGTAGACTTTTGTGATCGGCCACGAAGCCTCGTGTTTTGATGGGTCTAGATCTAGATCTAAATAACTCAGTGTTAATCACACTGCCACATCCGACAGGCCTAGATCTACATCTTTTTAAAAGGAAAACAAAGATCATCAAAATGGTTGAATTCGCCTGAAAATCGATTCGGTAGAACTAGAACTATTAAAATTTGCTTCTGAAAACAAGGCAATTTTTATACGAAGGCCATTTTTATAACTCGGTGAAATAAAAAGCTACTGGCTGTGTACTGTGTTATTCTGTATAAAAATAAATTATGAAACTTCAGGACGTATTATTATTTTCCAGCATCTTTTGACGCCTGAGCTGTAGAGGTTGAAGTTTTCACAACACTAATAGATCTAGTAATAGGCCAGGTAATAGGGCTTTCCGTAAAAAATGCATAGATCTACAAAAGCCGAACCACCGAATCGACCGAGCACCTCGCTCTCCCCTGCACACTGTGATAACGTGTTGCTTCGGTATCGCATTATTCAACTATTAATACGTGCGGCTATGGCAATTGGGATGTACTGACTGACAAAAAATTCAGTTTTGTTTTTATTTTACCATATATTTGACTTTAATAGTGCAGGCGATAGCAAGATCTAGATTCCCTGTCTAGAGTCAGTAGTAGCAGGCCTATGCTAGAAGTAGCCAGAGAGCCTACAACTGCTAGATCTAGATCTAACTTATTATTGCTATGCCTTTGGGCTTTGGAATTGAAATAAAACGAATTGCACAGTTCTAGTTACTTTTAGATTCAGCAAGTAACTGTATTTCCAGAGTTAATAATAACAAATCTCAGCATAACAATCACTTTTACTTTTATTAGAATAATTAGATCCAACTTTTTTTCTAAAATCTGTTTTGCACAAACTTAAGATTTTCTCTACTTGTAGAGCAGAGAATTTACATTGTAAGCCTCTGCTCAGTCTTTTAGTATACATATAATAAAATACACACACACACACACACACACATATATATATATATATATATATAGAGAGAGAGAGAGAGAGAGACCTATATCATCATTTTATGTTGTTTTCGGGATATTTTTAAAACTCTTTTTTTTCAACATGTCATAAAATCAAATTGTGCCATTTTCTTTGAAAAGAATAGCATTAGCAGTGGACTTTTTAGAAAGCGAATCTCTGATTCAATATTTTTTTTAAAATATGCTAATCAATGAAAATTGCAAATTGATAATAGTTTAGTCCTGAAGAGGATAGGTGGACTCCGGGGTCTGCAAAGCGAAATACTAGGTTTTAGGATGTAAACCCCGGAGTCACCGTAGTGAAATAAGGTTTGGTTTAAGTAAGGATTGGTGGACCCCGGGGTCAACGTAGTGATAAATAAGCAGGTTTAAGGTGGACCCCAGGGTCACCATAGTGAAATAAGTATGTTTCTTTAAAGATTGGTGGACCCCGGGGTCAGCGTAGTGAAATAAGTAGGGTTAATTTTAAAAGGATTGGTGGACCCCGGAGTCACCATAGCCGTAGAGGAATAAGAAGGTTTAATTAAGGATTGGTGGACCCCCGGGACACCTAGATTAAACCTACTTATTTTACTACGGTGACCCCGCAGGTTCCACCTATTCTAAAAACCTAACTAGCATTTCGTTAGGTAGACCCTGGGGTCCACCTTAAACCTACCTATTTCACTACGTTGACTCCAGGGTCCACCAATCCTTAAAATTAAACCTAGATCTACATGTACTTATTTCACTACATTGACCCCAGGGTCCACCAATCCTTAAAATTAAACCTAGATCTACATGTACTTATTTCACTACATTGACCCCAGGGTCCACCAATCCTTAAAATTAAACCTAGATCTACATGTACTTATTTCACTACATTGACCCCGGGGTCCACCAATCCTTAATTAAACCTATATCTACTTATAATTTCACTACGTTGACCACGGGCTCCGCCAGTCCTACTATAAAATAAACTGAGATCTACTTATTTCACTATGTTGACCCCGGGGTCCACCGATCCTTAGTTAAACCTAGATCTACTACTTATTTCACTACGCTCACTCCGGTGTTCACATCCTAAATCCTAGCATTTTGTTAGGTAGACCCCGGGGTCCACCTATCCTTTTGGCTAGATAGACCCCGTAGTCCGCCTATCCACTTTCTTGATAATAACTGAAAACAATACATGCCAGTTGTCATGAATAGTGAAGAAAAATGATGGGAAAAAAAGACAATGAGGTAGACTATAATTTATCAAAAAAGTTGCAAGTGCAAGTGAAGATCATAAAATAATTTTGTTATCTTCTGGTCATCTTTCCCGGTTTATAAAAAAAATTCAGTGGGCCTACTACTAGATCTGTGTCTCTGAAGAACATTTTGCTTGCCTTTATTAGCTTTTTTCATGTACATGAAAGCATAGAATATATAGTTTCACACAAATATATGCACAATACTTTGAAAAAGAAAGATATGGTCATTGTTTTTTTACGGAATCCGTTTTACGTTGAGAAAAGCGCTAAAAACAAGTTTAAAAATTTTAAGAATGCCCATAATATTAGTATTAGGAATCCGAAATTACTACCTAGTTGGCTTACTCTTAAATAACCTTGAGCAGTTAAGAAAAAAAAGACAATGATATAGGATTTGTCTAAATATGACCATTAGCAATAAAGATTCTGCCCATTTTGTCCAATTATCCTTGCAGGTAAAATCACCCTGCACTGTACCTCAATAAGCACAAAAGGAATATTTCTGTGACTTTGTATAAAGGTGTGGCCTAAATAAGGTAAGGGAGGGGGGTTTAGCTTATTTAGGCCACAGGCGTGGCCTAAATAAGGTAAGGGAGGGGGGTTTAGCTTATTTAGGCCACCTGTGGCCTAAATAAGGTAAAGGAGGGGGGTTTAGCTTATTTAGGCCATATGTGGCCTAAATAAGGTCACCCATACATAAATACATTTTCACTTTTGTTGCCTTCTACTCTAGAATGTTCTCTTCGAGGCCTTCTCCTTCATCCCACATATGAATTTCGTCCTAGATTAGGTATACGGTGGTATGCTTTATTCAAATTAAAACTTGACCAAACTGGCCTCAGTCTGATTTTATTTCTGGAGATCTGCATTTTCGCATAGGGTATTTTTAAGCACCAATCATTAAAACTTAGTAAAATGTTTTTATTCTTGAGATCTGCACTTTCGTATACGACGATATAGGGTGTCTTTTACGTCCCAATCTATACAATTCAGACTATTAATTACAAAGCGGGCTTCCGACCCTATCTACATGGGCTGAGACTGAGAGGTATACAACATCCACCAAGCAGAAAGATAGACGCTAGTGAAAAATTTCTCCCCATTCAGGTCTCTGAATGCGACAGCCAAGTGTTTATAATTTATCCGCTACACCACGGGCGTCGGTGAGATCTACATGACTGAACAACTATTACTGATCATCTCGGAGAGGGGGCTCTCCTTGTCTAGAGGTTATGGTGTTTGACTCTCATTCAATGTGTCCCGGGTTCGAAACATAACAGCAACGGAAAATTTTCTTCTCTTTAAAAAAAATTCTCCTTTCAACTTTTCTCCTGCTCTCCAATCATGTTCTGTCGTCTGCTTTCGTCTCCGCTTTCTACCCTCCCCCCCAAACCGCCTTTGCCCCCTCCTCACAGCTCCTGACTCTTTCTGCAGTCTTTCTACTGGAACCTTCTTGGCTCCTTCAAACTACTGTCTTTCAGCCACACGCATGATCTTAGAGTAGGTAAGATCGAACACCTGACCTAGCCTTCTCGGCTAAGGGCGACAAAAATTCGGAGGTCCCGTGTGCAAGCTACGGACCTAAAAGTAGTAAAAGATCCCTTGGTCACACTTGGCGATCCTCATACGGGTAAAGTTCAAAATGTCTATTAAACTTTAAACTTGTTGTGTGTGTCCCAAACACTAATTTAAATGTGGCCTGCCTTATGCAGTTGCGAGCCTCGTAAAACACTCACCAGAACAAACAAACAAATCATCTCAGAGTCTGAACCAGCTCTCCAACAAGCATCCTCATGCCCAAAACACACAAAAAATTAGAAGCTCCGCTTACAACATTCTTCCTGTCCTCAGAGAAATTCGCGCGCGCAACCCGCAAGTTGCGCGTGCAACTTTTGCCTTCAGCGCAACTTTTACCATTTTCATGAATTCGCGAATTTTAGCCAATTTCCCGCAAAATTGGGGAAAATAATAATAAATTGTCATTAAAAACACCGAAATTTTCTTCCACGCACGACTAAAAATAACGACGCCAATGGGGACAATTCGCTCCTTGCACTACGGGGGGGTGCCCGCCGCCGCCCAGTGACCCGGGACGGGTCAGGTCGGGTCGGGTCGGGTCGGGTCGGGTCGGGCGGGATGATCGCCCGACTCGTCGCCTGAAAACAACGTGTTTGTTTTGAAACAACGAGTCGGGTGCGATCGACTTGTGCCACGATAGCCGCTTTGCATCATAATCTGGCGAGCAAACCGACCCAATAGTCTTGTTTGGACTGAATCATCTTCTAGTCTAGCTAGATCTAGATCTAGAATCTCTAGAGTAAATCAATCGTAAACACGGTCGTCTGATTACTTAGCTTGCTTCATGGATCCGTAGCACCAGGTAGATATATTCTAGATCTAGTATTAAAAAAATTGTGAAAGACTTTAAATCTTAGGCTAGGAGGCTAATCTAGACATGGATCGATTCATCCAGAAAACCCCTTAAGGGGACGTTCAAATATCTTACGCCTGGAAAAAAAAAGGGGGAGGGGTTGGCTCCTGTAAAAGTTAAGTGTAAGAAAGGGGGGCGGGGGACCAATGTAAAATTACACTTTCGTAAGGTGAAAAAATAATCAGGAAAATATAATTTATGACAACGTAATTTTTTTAAAAATAAGCAAGCATAAAAAGAGAGTAACTACACTATTCACTTAGAGTAAGTTCGAGCGGTAATTAAGCACTGCATTGTGGCGATACAGTGGACTTCGAGCAGCAAGCACGATATATGTATATGTATATATGTATGTATATATATATATATATATATATATATATATATATATATATATATATATATATTTCAACTCGCACTTTATACACTGGTAGATATCTAGGCTACATAACAATAATTAACATGTAGATATAGTCTAATTTTGATTACACCGATGCGGTTAAAGTGGTAAAATGACAACGTACGTTTTTCTGGAAAAGTTCCGCTTGAAGCGTATTTAATTATTATGTCACATGTGTGTTTTTCTGCATGTTTTTCATGAATAATATAATTAATCATTTAAAAGTAAAGCGCATAGAAGAGTGATTGTAACACTGATTTGCGCAATATAAATGTCATATTATTTTAAGCGAATAACGTAATATTACGGGATTGAGGGGGGGGGGGGGAAGGAAAGTGTTTTAAAAAGTGTAAGATTATATTTGAAGAGCCCCAAAACCACACTGGTCACACCTGCCCAACGTCAGCGAGCGTTTAAGGACCTGACGAATGTGATGTGTCTGGGGACAAACTGTTTTTGTACACCATGCAACCTCCATGCAGTTTTTTTGTGTTTTTTGTGTTTTTTGGTAGACATTCACATTTACCTTCTGATTTTGGTCGAACAAAACTCATATATAGGTTACTTTAGATTGCAATGAGCATAGCAACAATGTATTCCAATAGCTAGTTCCGTGGCATTGTTTTAGCTATACACGTCTTGCAACTTTTCTTGCAACTTTTGCTAATTTTTCTTGCAACTTTTCCTATTTTCAAATGCAACTTTCTCTGAGGACAGTTCTTCTCTGTTAGAATCGAGCCAAGCCGATGGAGAGTCACATTGCGACTCACAACAGCTATCAACTAATCCAAGCTCATTTCGACTTTTATTTCAGAGATTCAACACTTATATATTAATATGACCTTATTGGGCTGCAAGTCAAAAGCCGTAAAACTCTTACTAAAATAGATTAAAATCGAGTTCAGAGAAGCGTATTAGCACAGTTAGAGCTAGTTACGGCCATTAAATGCCGGGAAATATCAAAAATAGAAACAGAAGAGAAAGAAATGTGGTAGGGCTTTTAGTGCTGGAAAAAATCGAAATAGGAATATTAGAAAAAGGAGGGATGAAAGAAATGTAGTAGGACCTATCAGGGGCTCTAATTTGCCTTTCTCATACATAGTAATAGTCCGTATCCCTTATGGTCCTCAGGTTTAACTTAGCTTTTCAAACTTACAAACACGAGCAGAGCGTCTGTAAAAGCAGCCCCAGGTTTAATGAATACTGTGTTATTAAAAGTTTCAATCTATATTTTGTTCTGCGCTCGTAGATGGTTGATAATCTGGCACCATTTGTTCTACTGGAACCTACTGAAAACCTTTGTCGAATTTTTCTCGACAATTTTGGGGGTAACGTGTTGACAAGGAAAGTTACAATTGAGCTTTTTTTGTGCAAACAGCATCAGTGTGCGCGTGTTTGAGCTGTGTTCTGACCGTCATTTCTGCATTATATATTTTTTTTACCGGAACTCTTCTCGTGTGGAAACATACCTTCTCACATCTAGGCCTAGATCTACATAAAGTGAAGGCTGGAGCTTGGATTTTCATATCAGGGAAGAGAAGAAAATAGAAAAAAATGAAGGTCTAGATCTAGACTTACCCATCCACAGTTCATCCAGTTTCACACAGCTCCAAGGAGGTTATACAGTTGTTTTAAGCTCCTTTCACAGCCTGCATAGTGTTCCCACCTAACCCCTCCCATCCCTATCGTAGGCTAACCGTTATCGCCCATCCTTTTGGCTTTGGGCCCCTATTAGGAGGCACACTAGATCTAGCAATACAGTCCGTGCCGGCTATAAGCACGCCGGCTTAAAGCACGTTTCGGACTCAAGCACGCTAAACGGCTCTTACCGAATTTTTGCTATATATAAATTACACGCCTTTAAGCACGGTAACTTCGGCTTTAGGCACGCTTCATTACAACAAGACAGTAAATACTTTCAGGATGACCCATCGAAGTTCGAACACAGTCTATACTGCAGCAGTGGAGTGTGTTAAGAGAAACACAGAGAACGCAAGTGATGCCAGTGATGGAGACACACACTCACACGGGCGGAGAGGAAGGCAGAGAGATGCACATAGCCGCGTGCGTGGACATAGGATCTAGCCTAAGGCAAAGTTACACACAGACTTAAAAATACAGAGTCGGGGAGACGAGAAAGGGCGGCTGGCTGCGATTTCACTTTTGACCTTCGCTATCCATTAATCCTGATTGTGTATCACGCGCGAGGTGGGATGAAGGCGGTGGTATGAATGTGGCACAGCGGGCAGTGGTACGCACAGGCAGCGTGTAGGCCTAGTGTGCTGTATCGTGACTGGCCGTCTAAATTGAGTTTTCATTTCCCATTCGACCACAAAACAAAAACAAACAAGAAAACAAAAACTACAATGGTGGGTAAAAATACCAGTGCACACTTTTGCGGGACTGCGGTAGGCCTACTTACAAACAAAGGGAAATATCACGGGAAATTTTCTACCTGAAAATCTCTGGATTATGTCTACTTCGCACTCAAGCACGCTTCGGATTTAAGCACGCTTATGCTTTCTCCCGATGACCGTGCTTAAAGCCGGCATGGACTGTACAATGTGTTAGGAATCGAGGATGGGCTTTGTGCTTCCTGTGGGATGGAGAGAAAGGAGAAAAATTTTTTGCTTTTGGGGCCGCTATTTGCTTTTATTTGGTTACCGCGACCTCGTTGAAAGCGACTTCGGTCTGTTTGCAACCTCGTTCGAGCTGACGCACATTTACAAAGAGATATAGAGGAAAAAATCGGGGATGAAGGATTGCCTCGTTGGAGCCGACTTCTCGTTGAATGCGACGCCCACTGTAGTCCGTTCTTTGCGCAAGCGGTATTTTTTAAAATACCTGTGTCCCCAGCGTTCTCCTCCACTCTCTGCGACAACAAAGCAACAGAACAGAGAAAACAAGACAGTATATGCCCTTCTAGTGGCAGGCTTCCCTCAATATTTCCCTTTATTCAAGGAAAAAAAATATATATATATCACAAAAATCCAAGACATTACATATAATGATATTGGTACACAAATAAATGGCATCAAAGCAAGATGTGTCTCACAAAGGCGGATGATAAGAAAATGAAAAGCAATGTAATCTGAACCTATTATTTATGTCCCACACTATTCACATACCATACTTTGTTGTTGTTGTTATTATTTTGTTTATGCATTTTCAAGAATGGGACACACTGGTCCCTATCTGTCCACAAAACTATAACTATAACAAAACAGAATTACCGGATTCTTAACATCCTAACAAAAGTGACACTACCAAAGTAAAGACAACAGTGAAAGGGACCTGTATACATCTCAGGTACACTATGCCTTCACCATCAATAATAATCTGTTTATCAATTAGAGAGCCACCATCTGTCTGTGACCAGTTTGTGATAGTTAAAATGCGCATTTCCATAAAATAAACAGTTAGCACCCCCCAGGTCTGTTCAAGGACAGAAACTAATTAAACCATTATAAACAATGGGCCCCAAATGTAACAGTCTCGGTAATAACAAGATTTCAACTGCAGTAGGCTATAACTCCCCCGAATCCAATCTTTTGTAATGTATAGAACAAAGTCCTTTAGTAGCAGGCATTCAGATAGGCATACTGGGCTATAAAAGTGGTCCTACTAACGACAGAATCCTATACCATAACAAACAGCAGGGCTCCCCATTACACACAGACGTGCGTATATTGCGCATCAAACCTGCAGATTACCCCTTGGTAATCTTGGTGGTGCGTGAGTATTACTCTTTAACATTTCGTTTCGGGGGTTTTGCATACGCTTTCAAACTAATCAAACATACGTGGTGTGCGTCAAGCATGATTTCCCCCTTTCTCCATCCCAAAACCGAGTCAATGATTTGACAACATAGCCACACACATACACGGCACGGCAGTCACCTTTTGTGACTTCGTGTCAGAAGCAGTAGACCTATTTATCAGCTGCACGTAATTTCTGGCGACAAAGGCTTGCTTCAGCAGAGAAGCTCCGCCCACATTCTGGTCGTTCGCATTAGCCGGTGTCATGCCTTGAGTTTACCCTGCCGTGAGATTATCCAAACAGACCTGGCTACTCATCCTGATTTGTATCCTGATTTTTTTGCCTCAAATCTCAAGCATCCCGATTTTCTCCGATTTCCATTGCGTGTATCCAGATTTTTTTGGGGACGTCTGTTGCGCTGGATTTTTCTAAAATATACAGGTGACTCTGCCTTCTTCTCTGTCGAGGGAAGCACTCATTAAACTTTTTGTCAGCAGAAACTCGGAGCACTATTTCCTGAAATTATATCTTTGTGTTGGGTAGACACTTGGACTTGGAGTCCTTGACCTGATACTTCAGGATTTGAAGAAATAATGATAACACACACACACACACACACACAGAGCAGAGGGTATAAACATGGATATATTCATGAACACCAGAGAAAAATTTTTAAGTCAGCTTGGCAGTCACCCTGGTGATTTGTCGTTGATCCTAATTTTTTTCGCCCCCTGAGATCCTGATTTTTAGATTTCATAGGGTGGCAGGTCTGCCCCCCATCCTTCTTTAACACTAGTAAACATGAATTGTCCGCCATTCTTTTACAAAAATCGAAAAAGTCTGGACTGATGGGAATGTGAACACTGGGACGGCTCTGAAGAATAATAACTTATTTTCTTCCAGTATTACAGTCGGAATTTACCCCTTTCGGTTTGTCACCTATATTTTATTTTTGATAGGCCCAACCACCACCACCCTACCCCCTCTCCAAATGAACACAACTCTAATTCTAGTCAATTTTACTCATTTATTTCTTGTTGTTACATTAAAACCTTACAGTTAATTAAAAATCGTTAGCATTCAATCATAGTCAAGGTGTGTCTGTGTGAATGTGTGTGTGAGTAATATGTTTACGCTACATGCAAAAATTTTTACTATAAAATTAGGAGATAACTGGCTTTTGACTTCAGACATAAACACAAAAAAACAACAACCCTTAAGTTTCTGAAACAAGGGTTTAAATACCCCTTAAGATAGAAAACCAAATGGGGAAGGAACCTGTTAAGTTGGCCCGACAAGGGGAGCTCTGAAACAGACAAAAAAGCAGAAATAAAATGTAACAAAATATAGCAACATTCAACACGGGTCATTGCACCTTCATAATCCACAGGCAGAATTGTTTTTAAAGTCTCAACATCTCTCCACAACCATTCAAATGTCATCTGCTGCAGTTTTATAACTTTCTGCCCATCCAAAAAAAAAACTTCTTAAAAATAGTTTCATCACTCACATAAATTGAGTAGAATGTGAAAAAAAAATTTGAATTACATTTCCTTGGGAGGGCTAACAATGATGTCAATAAATTCTATAAAGTTTTAGTTACCCATATAATTATTTTACATGCAAATTCACGTTTTTGTGGCTACTGCTATTTGTTGTTGTTGTTGTTATTGTTGTACGTCAACTAAATCATGAGATCCGTTGTCAGTGTAAGCCTTTCTGTAACACTGATAGCATCACCGGATAGACAGCTGCATACTCCTTGCTTTGTCGTTGTCTGACAAGCTTGGCATATGCTTCTAGAGAGCCCCTGGAACACAAACAGACAAATTCAGACAATAAGAAAAAGATACGAGACCATTGAGCCACAACGTGTTGGAATCAGGCGCTCGTCAATTTTAGGGCATGTGCAGTTATTTATTGTTATCATCTTAAAGCTTGTTCATTTGTCATGCTTTCAATGAAGAATTTACCCAAAAGAATTTGAGATATTTGCACTTGAAGGACATGGAATCGCCTGTTTTCAGAGGCAAAATTAGAGAGAAAATGGCTTTCCAAAGCTTGAGAGTCATTGAAAATTATACTTTTACATTTTTTGTGCCTTTGATCAACGTTGATCAACGTTTTTCAGCCAAATCCACATATAAATGTGTCACAATGTGGTGGAATCAGGCACTCGTCAATTTTTGGGCACGTGGAGTTATTGGTATCATCTGAAAGCTTATTCATTTGCCTCGTTTTTAATGACAAAATACCCATCTATCTAGAATAGAAGTCAAGATATTTGCAATTGAAGGAGGTGAGGTCACCTGGTTTCAGTGGTGAAATAAGCGGAAAAATGGCTGCCAAAGTCTGGTAACTCCAATAGCTAACGAGTCCTTGTCAACAGAAAAATGACATATTTTGTGCCTTTAATCAACGTTTTTCAGTAAAATTCACATGGGAATGTGTTTTAATATGGATATAAAAGGGGTTGAGCCAAAAAACTAAAATTCGATAAAAATTGCCAAACTGGCAGAAAAAATGCCTGTTTCTCCGTTTTGGTTATATTGACGAGAACCTGACTTCACCATGATGCCTCACAAATGCGTTTTTAAATTGACATTAAAGATGTTGAGCCAAAAAAAGAAAATTTTTTAAAAGTTGTCCAGCCATAAAAATCAGATATCTTTGATTCCATTATTTTGACAAGCGCCTGATTTCACCAAGATGACTCACATACATGCGAAATCGTGATGGCGCTCGTCGAAATAATGAAATCTAAGAAACCTACATTTTTCTCCCCATTGGGCAATTAAAAAAATATTTTCTTTCTTTGGCTCAACACCTTCAATGTCCATTTAACCTCTTCGTTGCCTTTTATTACTTCTAACGTACCTGGTACGTCATGAAAGTGCGCAACTTTTAACGCTGTGCCAACTATGTACGTTCCAGAAGTTGCCAAAATTTGCCGCTTCTGCTTACATGCACATCACGCTAATAACCGGTCTCTAATTCTTCTGTACTGAGTTTTAGCCACAAGCGCTGCGTAGATTCGTATTCGGGAATAAAAGACGCATATATTGGTACCAAATATGCTAGTATTACTTTACTGCTAAGCTTGTAAGCGATCGATAAACACAGATCTAGGCTTGTGGGCGGCCACGTGCTCTCGTAAAACGTAAACATCGTAAATGACTTTAAAAAGTCAAATAAATTCACTTTTGGAAATAGATTTGCAGGTTATTTGAAATTATGAGTAAAATGGGAGGAAATGGTGGATAAGAAAAGTGAGTAAAATGACAATCGTAGACCCAGTGTCCAAAATATGTCACGAGTGCGCTAGATCTAGACCGTGTGTCCATTAACACTGAGACATTAGACTGCTGTCGTTTGTAACGAGCTCAGCTGAAAATCAGTGATGACAGTAGGAACGCATACCGCGTGGCAACGAAAGGGATAAAAACAGTTTGAATCTACTGAAAATAGTCGATCAACATTTTTTTTACTGCATAATTTGCAGTTTCTAAGGACACTCAAGGTTTGGAAGACACCAAACTTTGGCAGCCCATTTTTTGCTTTTTTTAAAACCCCTTACATAAGTCAAACCTAACCTCTTTCAGATGCCAATTTCTCAACTTCTTTTCAAGACAGAATGGTATTGTTATCATCAAATGCTAAAAAAATTTACAAATTTCAAGGTTTAGTTTAGTTTTAGTAAGGTTTTACAGCGCTCGCAACTGCATAAGGTCATAATATGAGCGCAAAGGGGTGGACGTCAACAGAGTCCAAATGGAGAATCAGGCTTACTCTACTCACCTCTATAGCCTCAACAGCACAAAGTCTGCTTCGACTATCAAGGTACCCCGGAAAAAGCAGTTCACAAAAGAGTGACAAACATACAAAAGAAGTAGAGGGAAATAATGATAGTAAGGACGTTGTTCCGACACAGTATGAGCATGACATTGATAAAACACGGCCCGTTTTCAATTCTACTGAGTATTAGAACATGTTAATATCCCCCTTTGAGAATGGCCTCTCATTTTTCTTGTGACAACAGGGACGCAGGATACCTACTTTGATTGACCATCCCTCGTCTTTCCTTCTTTCCATCACCTAAACCCAGGGTCAAACACCCCACATTCGAAACAACCTATTTGCACAAGGCAATATGTTAAACTTGGACATAAATTACAAGCACTCACTTCCTGATATAACTTTGATTGACCATCCCCTCTTCTTTCCTTCTTTCTATCTCCTAATTTCAGGGTGAATACTCCACATTCAAAACTACCTATTTGTACCAGGTGAAACACAATTTTTGTTTCAGTAAGTGTTTTACGGCAATTGCAACACAATAAGGTCATACAAGTGCCGAAGATCAGAGGTGTTACAAGAGAGTAACAAACACAAAAAAGAAGGAGGGGGGAGATAATGACGAAAGATGTTTGAAAGGAGAGAAGAAGCAAACCACACCAGAGCACCCCCGTCAACCACCCAACGAATCACAATCACTCACTTGATGATTTTCAACCGATCCGCTTCTTCTGGGTGGTCATCAAGCCACTGGGAGTATCTGCTCACTGACCAGTCAGAGACCTGTGATAACAAGGAAACATGTCAAGCTACAACAAACACTGTAACACACATGGGTGGTTGGCGTCTGCTCTCGTATGGTTTGCTTCCTCTTTCTTATCAAACATCTCTCATGCTTATCTCCCCTACTTCTCTTTAGCGTTTCTTACTCTGTTGTAAGACCTCCAATCTTCGGGACTTACATGACATTATTGTTGTTGCAAGTGCTGTAAAACTCTTACTAAAACAATACGCTCAACCCACAAACCCCAACAGTTAAACTGTTATTACCCTAATCTACTAATCACATTTTTTTTAAAAAGCACTTCTCATAGCAAAATAACTTATAACTTTAATTCATTTTTAGAGAAAGTAAGGAACAGTCTTCTTTTACTTTCTTATTTTAAAAAAAATCTGAATAATTAAAATCCTCTTTAAAATGCAAAGTGATCCTGATAAAGCAAGAACCTACAGAGAATCTTTGAACAAAATACAAAAGCACATGATCCATTCACAGATAATTTTGACTATTCAAATGCTCGAAGAATGAAAACTCTACCGCACTCATATTTGTTTCAGTTTGTTCGAGTAAAGAGAAGCACATCAGTACGATAACGGTCATTTCGTGCAGGGAAAAAGTAAGATGTTGCTGTTTTCAAATCCTTTTAGCTGCAAGCATTTCGCTCTTGGCAGCGAAATGCCTCCCTTAAGTAACCACATGTCCTCGCCATCTGGTCAACCCCAGAGTAGAGCAGGTAAAAAGTAAGATAGACAGACGGAAACAAAAGAGGGAAAGTTAAGAAGTAGAATCTACCAATGGCGCTCTCCAACAACTTGCACCGCATTCACAGGGAAAAGGTAACGTTGACATTTAAAGCTCATGACAGCAGAAAGCTCTCAAATAAATAAAAAGTCAGACGCAGTAAAAATAAAGTAATCTGGAGCACAACCAAAAGAAGAAAACAACAAACAAACAAACAAAAATATATATATCTATATAAATATAAAAGAATCATGGAATCACTGCAGGACATATTTACATCACGTTCCAGAATTTACCTGATGAGGCGAGCGGAGTTCCGTGGGAGCACGAGCAAACAGGAAGTGTAACAGGGTGCTGTACGGTAAGATCTCGCCCAGAGCTGGACTTTGAGAAACATGCTCGGGTGTTTGGAACAGCAATGGTCTGCAGAAACCAAACGAGAAGTGATAAGATGTGGGGAAACACTTTGTGTGTGTGTGTGGGGGGGGGGGGGGGGGGGAACTAGAGTACCTATTGGAGGTATCTACTGACTATCAGCTATGTAACAAGAGGAGAAAATCAACCACACATAAAACCGATATTACCTTAAGAACTTCAAATGAATCAAATTCGACTGCTTGATCATTTCACATCTTTAACAAGTAATATCCTTGAATGATAATACCACTTTCAGCTGTCCTCCTCATGATGATCTGTGTACCAATGGCAAACCAAGCGCAATGCATACATCACCACCAAGTGCCATATCTGCAACTGACATCCGTGATTTATCCCTTTGCTTGGATGCTCTTAAAAAAGCTACATTACAATTACCCTGATCTTTCCCCGGGGTTACCCATCTGTTTCGATTCTTCAAGTAGGTTACTCTGGGCCTACCTCTGCCTCGTTTGACTTCAGTTTTGCCAGTGAGAGCTAGATGTTCAAGACCTTTATGTCTACTCAGGTATCCCAAAAACTGCATTTGTCATTTCCTGATTGTTTTTGTCAGTGAGAGCCCTATGTGGGCTTGTTCAAGTACTGCCTCATTTGATTTCTTTTCCTAAATGCATACATATAAAACATTATACAGAGGTACCATCAATGATCAACTAATATCATCACAAAACATGATATGGCGGGGTGCCACACAGAAACTCCTTTTGCCCTCCTGTGTGCTGTTGGGCAACTGAGGAAAACAGGCAAAGGCCTTTCCAAAGGCTACAAAGAATATCCAGCAGAGATGGAAGTCAAATTCATAATAATCTTATTTCTCACCCAATGCATTGCTGTCCCCTATAATGTCCCAAGAATAATAAAGAAAAATGGGGAATTTTACAAAGCAAACTTTCAAACCATTTAACCCTTTGTGCTCTGAGCTCCTGATCCTAATTTTACCCAGATTCTGACCTCCTGAGCTTCTGGGTTCAGGGAGAGAGTGCTTCATCATGAAAAAAAAAAAACACTCAGTAGACCAGCACAGAATGTGATCAAAACATGTGTGAAAGGGTGCAGACATATTGGCATTCCAAAATAGCATGTTGAAAGAAACTAGCGTTCTAGGTGATAAAAAATTGTAGTCTTTTTCTGTCCAATAACTCAGTACTCTTTCGTCACACTTGTGAACCGGTGCTAAGGATTATTGTTACCGAAGTGCACCACCAGTGAACCACAGCTACAGGCTCAAAAAGGTTACTTGATCCTCCTAACAGACTAAGAAGGAAACGATAGTGAGTTTTTATTGCATTCTATACTTTTTAATGAACACATTGCCAGGCTCACTGCGGGACAAATTTTCTCATTAAAATTTTTAATATATAATATACATATATATATAATATATGCCCATTAATTTTTTTAATGTCATGTCTTTACGAATGTAATGTGCACTGAGGATTTTTTAGAAAATGGAAAATCCAGAATAAATGCTCTTAATTATTATTTTTATTAAGACACTACCTGAAAGCTCGGAGCAGTCGGTACGTCTTCCCGAGGTCGGCTGCCCGGCGACAGAATGGTGAAATGGCTAGCTCCATCTGAGCAAAGTCTGCTGCCAGTCGCAGCTTGCCCCCGTCGCCCAACGGCCGGACCAAACTGGCATGCCGCACAAACAGTTCCACACAGCGGCAAGCAATGGGCAGGATGCTGACAACGAGGAAGGGGAGAACAGTTACCTCAAAACCCTTCTAAAGTTATAACACAGCCTTTTATAAATCTTCTTAGTTTTAGTTACAGTGAGAGTTTTACAGCACTTGCAACACAATTAGGTCATATAAGTGCTGAACATTAGAGCTGTCACTAGAGAGCAACATACAAAAAAAAGGAGAGATAAGGAGGATGGATGTTTGATAGGAAAGAAGGAGTAAACTACACCAGAGTACCCGCCAACCACCCACATAAATCTTCAATCATCATCAGAAACTGACTTTTGCATTTAGTGTGGGAATTTCTCACTGCCAAATGAAAGCACAAGTTTTGTACAGCAACATTTAAAAAACTGGTATTTTGTGTACACGGACATACAAATCCAATATGTACACAACAGAAATACCTATCTCAGGCCTATAACAACACCTTCTCCGCTTTCACCTGGCTTGGTGTTCCAGCAGCGAAAAAAACGTTCACCGAAAATAGAGTGAACTATGCGTCATAATCATTCCAACTAGTACAACATCAGGAAATGAAATTATATAGTCCCCTTTATGCACATAAAGAGAAGAAAAACATCCTCTTCCCTTCCCCTTATAAAAACTTACAAAACTAAAACAAATTCACAACCCTTCAACATTTAACACCTCACACCCTCCCTAGAAATAAAAAATCTCCTATTAAGAAAAAAAAAATCCCACCATCCACCCCCCCGCCCCCCCCAAATCTACACACAAGGAACAAATAAAATCCACCATCCTAACAGATGGCTAAAAAAACAGAACCTGTCCATGATGAAATCCTTGCATTTGAACTGTGAGAGGTAGTCTGCCTGACAACGGGAGATGAAGCTCTGCAGTTCCTTCATGTACAGGGAGCACGGAGCCTCTGTCTCAGAACCGCTCGGGGCTGGCCTGTGGGAGACAAGTCGTTTGTTTGTTTGAGTAAAGAGAAACACATTGACACAAAAATAGTCATTTAGTGCTGGGAAAAAGTGAAGCAGACAGACAGAAACAACAGAGGGAAAGTAAAGAAGTAGGAACTACCAGTGGCGCCCTCCAAACACCTGTTAGAGAAAAGTAAAAAGAGAAGGAAAACACTACTTGTTTGTTTTAGTAAGGTTTTACGGCGCTCGCAACTGCATAAGGTCATATGAGCACCAAGGGGTGGATGTCAACAGAGAAGTCCAAACAGGGAATCAGGCTTACTCTGCTAACCTCTCTAGCCTCAACAGCACAGTCTGCTTCGACTATCAAGGCACCCCAGAAATAGCAGTTCACAAGAGAGTAACAAACATAAAAAAAGAAGTAGAGGAAAAACAATGATAGTAAGGATGAGGAAAGAAAAATTCGGCACAGTACGAGAATAACTTATATAACAGCCCATTTACAATTCTACTGTACATAAAAACAAGTTAATGTTCCCCATTTGGAAATGGCCTACAGACAATTCAGTCAGTAGCACTGCCAGGGGAGGGGGGGGGGGAACGGGGGGGACACTACAAATTTTATTTAGGAGTACTGTGTCACAATGACAAGAACATCACTTGATAAACACATTTTTGAAATTACAACTTAGGTCATATTCTGGTAGTAAGTTTTCATAAGAGTTTTACAGGACTTGCAACACTATAAGGTCATATAAACGCTAAAGGTTAGAGGTATTACAAGAGAATAACTAAAAACAAAAAAAAAGAAGAGGGAGAGAAAAATATGACAGACGTTTGATAGGAAAGAAGGAGCAAACCAAACCAGAGCACCCGCCAACCATTCACAATTTAGGAATATTTCCTTACGATGACAAGCACATCCCTTAACACTTCGCCGCCTCATGTCGCCGATTGGCGATGTTTACCACCCAGTCTCTTTGGATTTTCCCCAAAAAGCCTTTGCCTTTGATGGCAAGAGTTTTTACTATATGAGCCTTGTGATGGCAAAGTGTTAACAGAAACGCATTTTGAAATTGCAATCTTATTCTGGGAGCAAGACAACAATAACATAACAACAGAAGTAAAAAAAGGGAAAGATTCAAGCAATCCAATAACAGCCGCAATATCCCTGAAACAAAAAAAAAAGCCACTAAACTCAAAAGAGCACGAGGAAAAGAAGCAGACGACAAAAAGAGCCTCCACCCACTGCCCACCATACAATCAGTATACCACACTCACCCAGAGAAATCTTCCTGATGTACGGTCAGTATAATCGCCTCCAGAGCATCCGATATTGAGGAAAGCAATGGCTGAAGAGCTGCACCCATTAGCTGAACAACGGACTGAAGACAGAAAATTATTGTAAATGTTATACCCCTTCTTTAGTTTATTTATGGGCTGGGCCGTTTACCTCTCCCTGGCCAAGAGTTTGGGACAGTGTACCTAAGAAGATACTCCATAAAATGTATACGGTACCTAAAAGGGAATTCATTTGACATCTTCTTATACCTGCAAGTTGATGAAACAACTGCTTCATCACAGGTGCTGATGTACAAAGTGTGAGAGGCAATACTATAAGCCTACAAGATACCACAGCTGTAGCTTGTCTGTCTGTGTGTCTAATAATCATACTATAATAAAAGGTGGGGCCAAAGTTTTGCCCACAAAGGCTTTATTGTACAAATCGTTTTGGAAAAATACACATTACACTAATGTTAGCCAATTGTCCCGCATGGGGGTATTTTAGAAGCTTGATAAGCGCTGAGTATTTAAATCAGTTTCTGAAATAATTATCACATTGCCGTAGAAACCTGCATTTCTGCCACAATGGGATCGGAAGACTTGTTTTTGATTGACCCATATTTGATTCGCTAGGAAATCCATGTTTTACATGTCGACGACCCGGATGTTTTTAGATCTATCGAAACCTATATGAAAGAGAAAGCGGAAAGTGAACTAGAGAGTGTCTGTTTTTCTTTAGTCCTACAGTTTGATATGTGCTCAACAAATGAGTTGCTGGCCTGTTCTCTTGCCAGTCTTGGAAGATATAGATCTAGATCTAGATCAATACAATTTGCCTATACACAAATTTCCTGTTCTCGATTCTTAACTCGCCACTTGCCACCACTCGACTACTCGCCAAGATGCTTCCAGTTCACCATAAAGTGGGGGGGGGGGGGGGGGACGCAACCAATGGAAAATTGGGAAAACCCACCATCACTGTGGTGAGCCTATGAAACACTATTTCTCCGTTCGTAGAACGGGTATTTATAATAATAATAACAACAACAGTAATAATAAAAATAATAATAAACATCCCTTTCATAGCACCCACTCCCTCTTGGCTCCAGGGGGGGTCAAAATAACACATTACACCCTAAGGGTCTGGACGGGAAGTCCATTGTTAGATCCTAAGCAAGGGGAAGGAACCCACCTCCCGTGAATACAAGCCTTTAAAAAACACATTTTAAAAATACTAAACAAATTCCAAAAATCCTAAAATGTAGTTTCAGAAAAATATAATTTTTTGTAAGCGCAAACTGTTGGAAATGTTCTAGCTTTAGTTCAATCAGGGTGTCCGACCCGTCACTCTCACTCTCAGCCTCGCGGTCGGGCCCTAGATCTAAATTCTAGATTTTCTACGTCTGATCAATCTGAATCGCCCCTAACTCTTGCTACGTTTTCAGCAAAATCGGAGTCATCGGATTTGTCATATGTTTGTTTTTGCTCAAATCCATCGTTATTTCCTTTTTCGAACTCAATTGTGTCGCTTTTCAACAAGTCGAGACACCTTCGAAGTGTTGGCAACGCAATCGCACTTCGTTCGGCTCTAATACTAAAACTAATGGCCTGAAAAATTTCTATTCCGTATCAAACGAAAGAAAAATCTTTTTACAATATCTATGCAAATCAAAATCTCGGCCCCAGTGTCTCGCCAAGGCAAGACTTCGTTTCTAAAGACGCTAGGTCGGCGTGGGCGGTTCCGGGCGAGTCAGGGTGGAGCACGTAAGGGAATTCCCGGGCGGTCACGGGCAAGTTAGGGTGTAAAGTGTTAAAATAAGATTTAAATCAACATTTCATGCATACACAATTTTGGTAATTTAGGCTTCAACCGTGCCCCTCAGAGCCAACCTGTGCTGAAAGGCATTCTGCGCCCCAGCAAAACAACTGAGATACTCCATAAAAATTCTCCACGTACTGGAATCGAACTCACAGGTCCTCCAACAAATCACAGTGAAACGCATAACCACTAGATCACAGATGTCGGTTATTCATTTTCTTTAAAAATACAAGGTAATTTTACACATACAAATAAAACTTTTTCAAACATACCTCGAGAGCAACTTCAATGCTGTGTTGAGCCTCATCAGGGAAATGGTTGATCCCAGTCAGCACCTGTTTAAAAAAAGAGAAGGGATAGAGATAAAAGTAGAAAAAAATTAGAACCTGTTCTTTTCCAAGACTCTGGACACAAAAGTAAATGGTCCAAAATCACAAGCCTATTGATGAAATTGGGGATGTTAGTAATTTTTTTTTTTAAAACTTGCGAAACCTCTTTTTCTTCATTTCTTTTGCTATATTTGGAGGTTCACAGTTTGTTTTAGTAAGAGTTTTACAGCACATGAAACATAATAAACGTCGAGGTTTAGAGGTGTTACACGAGAATAACAAACACAAAAAGGAAGGAGCAATAAGAACAGCAGATAATTGATAAGAAATGAACAAGCCACACCAGAGCACCAACCAACCAACCACCCACCACAAAAATAAACTATCCAAATCTCAAGAATATTGAGGACCTCAGAGACGTTCATTTAAAAAAAAAAATTGTTTAACCTCTATTTCTTCATTTTGTAATGCTATATTCCGAGGTTCAGAGTTACACAGCTATTTTTCTGGCTAGAAAGGACAAATGTACATGACAAAAGCGAATAGAACAAATTGTTCATGTGCCTAGAATATGTCATAAAACTGGGTATGTGGTATGCAGGAAAACGAAAAGTGAAATTAGAAAGTTCTCTGCGCTTCACTCAAAACTATGAGTATTGTAGCATTATATTCCTACAAAGATAGCAAACAAGGAGCTGTGCACCAAGAAAAAGACAAAAAAATACCCCCACCACTTTCTACCCCTGAACATAAAAACCTGAGCCTCGACTGTCCTCATAAAATGTTCACACAAGGTTAACATTCAGAACACCAAGGATAGAGGAGCAATGGGGTTGTTCTACATTTCTTCAACACTAATACAAGTTTTCTGTCAGAGATAGTTTGGGGGATGAGGTGTGTATGTGTGTGTGTGTGTGCATGTTTGTGTTTCGTGTGTGTGTGTGTGTGTGTGTGTGTGTGTGTGTGTGTGCGTGCGTGTGTTTCGTGTGCGTGTGTGTTTCGTGTGTGTGTGTGTGTGTGTGTGTGTGTTTCATGTGCGTGTGTGTGTGTGTTTCGTGTGTGTGTGTGTGTGTGTGTGTGTGTGTGTGTGTGTGTGTGTGTGTGTGTGTGTGTGTGTGTGTGAATGACGGGGGGAGGGTTGGGGTGAAGTAATCATAGCTTTCATGGTCAGTGTGTGCAGAAAATACTTCACCTTATCTACAGCTTGGAGGAAATGGAACAGTGTGTTGACCACACCAACATTGCGGGTTTGACCAGCAGATGCGGGACCAATCACCTGACTGGCTTCACCATCCGTCGAGAGCTGATGATTCATAGAAAAAGATTTTTTATTTATTGCTTTTCTTTACGTTGACATTTAAGTAAAGCACATCAATAGTCAGACAGAGCCCGCGGGGGGGGGGGGGGGGGATACAAACACAAACAGAGAAACAGAAAGATGGTAAAGATCTTAGGCCATATATCACAGGTCACAATTACGCAGATCACATAAGAACTCAAGTCGGTGCTCGTTTCATTCTGTTCCGTATATATCAGACAGTACAGGTCACAAGGTGTGATGCTCTTGAGTCTGAGTTTTGAGTACGGAGCCCGGAGATGCACGTTGGCACAATAACTGTCACATAGCGCAGGGAAGAAGCAAGACAGATAAACAGAAACAACAGAGGAAAAGAAAAGAAACAGTAGGACCTGCCAGTGATGCCCTCCAACCACCCGCTTAATGCACTTGAAAGCACTACTATTTTATTCTCAAATTGAAGAAGGTTCAGTGTGGGACAAGAACCAGGGTAAAATGCACTACAGTGCACCACGAAACCAACAGCTGGCCTGACCAGGCAAAATTCAAAACAAACTCAGACCCAAAACTCTGACAACTCTAAACATTATGTATGAATCATTGTCAACAGCTTGGGGCTCATGACAGTTATGGAGGCCGAAATTAAACGTGTGGCATCTTGGTCAAATCAGGCGCTTGTCAAAAAAAAAGAAATCAAAGAAACCGGCCATTTTTTAGGCCATTTTCATTTGTTCAAATTTTCTTTTTTGGGCTAAACGCCTTTTAAGTCCGTATAAAAACTAATTCCTGCTTGGATTTTACTGAAAAACTTTGATCAAATGATCAAAGGCACAAAAAATGTAAATTTGCAGTTTCCAAGGACACTCAAGCTTTGCCAGCCATTTTCTCGCTAATTTTACCTCATATTTAAGCATATCAAATGAAATCGTACCAGTTGCTCACTCTTTACACAGAGGAGTTTCACGGTCTTGGCCACATTGCGGGCGACGGTGATGCTCAGTTTCACATCTACACTGGACACATTCAGCTCACTGAGGACAAGACATCAAACTGGTTAGCTATTGTGGTGCACTTGTTTTACAGCACTATTGATTTAGTTTAGATAGCATAAGATAAGATTTGATGAGATAAATCTTTATTGTCCAGATGCTGGCACATTGCATTGGTGTTTCTCTCTCCCTCACACACACACACACACACACACACACACAATGTGTGTGTGCCTGCACACCAATATATACACTCTCTCACATTTCTTCTCTTCCACACACATCTACACATATACACAGAATAATATAAGAGTATGCTTGCACTCATTGACAGACTCACAGTTTGATCCCATAAACATCAGACCAGATTTGGAAATAGACCACATAATATTGGAAACATTTTGTGGGGAAAAAAGCAAAACAAAAAACAGGACGAGTAAACTTAAAGTTTTTTAACCCTCATCCTGCGGGAGCCGGGTTTATGTAGCCCGATAAGCCTATTTCGGCACCTCGCCTGCGTTCTGGTCCCGAGTCAGTGTAGCTCCTGGCTCAGCGCACGCGCAGCGCGCATCCTCTTACGAGTCATTCGGGTCCCGAGTCGGTTCCCCATTCACGCAGGTCAAGTGTGTGTGCGTCAGTCTGCTTGAGTCTGTGTGCGTTTGTGGCCTTCTTCTAGAACCACCTGCGTTGGTTCGTAATCGAGGCATACGTCTCATTCAAAACATGCCAAGTTGATAGCTCTAGATGTTCGTCCAATGAAATTATAGAAGGAATTGACCCACTTAGACATGAGGAGCTCGAAAGGATAATCAGGAAACAAGACTTCCATTTTTCTATACAAAATATTTCAAATGAGCTTGATTTTGTATGAAATGATACTACCTGATAAAAAATGAGCTTGTTTAACAGTTTTGAATACCCTTGTGCAGGTACAAAGAACAATTTGAGTGTAAAACATTCGGAAATTTACCTAAATAATCCCTTTTCGAACCTCAGGTCATTCATAACAACAAGAGCGTCCAGAAAGGTTATTCAAATGGGCGTAACTACTCATAATGTCTTATCAGCTTGTGAGAGGGGGCTATTCATGTGTTTGTAACACTTTATAAATAGAATGCTATGAAGGATAGAGCGTTATTTTCATCATCAGTTAACACACTCCCACGGTATTCATGGCGAAAACACACGTTTCCCGGCGCGCGCGCGCTGTACACCAACAGTACACACTGAGTGACCCCGGCGGCCTGCCCGGCAAGTCCGACGTAATCGGTTGCTGATAAGATACGCATCTGGGCACAGACGCAGGATAAGAGTTAAGAACACAACAAAAGACAGAACGAACAGACTTAAAAGTTCTTTTAACGGCTATCGTCGTAATGGGTTTTATTCTGCAGACACTTGTGCAAGTCATTCCAAACTTATCCTTCAGCTCTGTTACACCTTACACCCTGTGACCAGTCAGCTCTTAGTAGGAATGGTGCTAAGCAAAGTCGCCAAAGCTCACCTGGAGATAGTCTTGACCACATTGTCCACTTCCTCCAGTGTGGGTGGACTGGACGTGTTGGAGGCAAACACCAAGTTGATTGGGTCAAACAGCCGAGACAGCGAGCGGGAAAGGTACGCATTCTCAAACAGGGCCAACGTTTCTCGCAAAGCCCTCTCGGAGCTGAAATACAGTTTACAAATCAAGGTAAAGATAACCCAAAACATTTTTAATGCAAAGTAACAAACACAGATCGCTGACTGTGTGATATAGTAACAAAAACGTTGTAGGAAAGATCCCCTCAAAGACATACCAACTTGTTAAAGTTATTATTCCCTTTCTGAATGGTTTGTGAGGCCTTTGAGGGCAAAAATTAGCTTGCTTTCAACAATTGGAGGAAATCTCTTTCACAAATGTCGAGTAGACCTGGCATGAGTGCTGCTTTACACTGACACCACAATGAGAATTCGGGAGATGAATATGCTCAATCTAATGATCTCATGTTTTCAGCTCCGATTCCAATTTCTCTTTTGGTGAACAAGCCATCATCGCGATCAATTTTATCAAGGTGCTGCTGGTACGTGGGGACAAAGGTTGTGTACACTCTGCGCACTGGGTGGGTGGGTGGGAAGTGAGTCAAAATCTCATTTTCTGTGTCAAAATGAACCACCACTCACTCATACGTCTGCCGGCTTTTCTCTGTTTGGGCAAAAAAGTCTTCATCCCCGTCCCCGGTCACAACCACCTCTGCCACTCCAGCACTCGGGGTCACGGTCAGAGTGTTGCTGAACTGGTGCAGGCGGCGCCACAGGTCGTTGTACAGGCGGAGCAGCTTCGGGTACTCGCCCTCAAACGCTTGCTTCAGGAACGAAGAATCTAAAAGGAGAGGAAAACCAAGTGAAAGAAAACTTATAAACTGCAAATGACATAAGTTAGGAAACCATCAAAACTTGTATTTAAAATGTTTATGAAGAGGGCATTCAATTTTCATTTTTCCAGGTTAAAACCACATACTCAAATATACTATATAATAAGTGGCAGTGACCTTGTAAACATTCAAAGGAGATTCAGGTTTTAGCTTATGGTGAGATAGAAAAACAATGGAAACATTTTGCCAGAAAACAGTAGTGGAAAATAAAGAGGCACGGAAATGAATTGAAAGGAGTAGATCCCACCAGAGACCCACCAACCAACCGCCGACTTTCAGAGACAACTTGACATTTCTGACCCTGAGGCTATGCCAGCTTTTGCTTTTAAATTGCAGGCTGGTATATAAACAAAGTCTCTTCCTCAAAGCATTTGGTCAAAATGAATACTCTGTTCACCGCGTTCTGTCAAATATAGTATACACAGAACATCAAACCTGTTTTGAGTACAGCCAAATGAAGGAAGAATATACAGAAAGAAAAAATCAAGCAGAATTACACAGTTCACATATCTTAGTTAATCAGTCCCATTATTCTCCTCTGAACATAAACAAACCCCCCCTCCCCCCAAGGGCGGTGCTACTGCCTGAAGTGTCTTTAGGCCATTTCCAAAGAGGGGACATTACCATGTTCTGTTGCACAGTAGAATTGTAAATGGGCTGATTCATCAATGTCATGCTCAGAACTCTGCCGGAATAGCTACAGGGAACGGCTGCTTTTTCTTTCCTCATCCTTACTATGGCATTTTTTTCTCTACTTCTTTTGTATGTTTGTCACACTCTTGTGACCCGCTATTTCCGGGGTGCCTTGATAGTCGAAGCAGACTCTGTGCTGTTGAAGCTAGAGAGGTGAGCAGAGTAAGTCCAATTCCCTGTAAGAACTTCTTTGTTGACATCCACCCTTTGGCGCTCATATGACCTTATGCAGTTGCGAGCACCGTAAACCCTCTACTAAAACAAAAACAAAAAAAACAAAAAACGAATAGCACACAACAACTTACATACCACAAGAATTATTTTTTTTCTGAAACCAAATTCCTTACTCTAACAACTGCCAGTTCACAAACTTAAATGAAACCAATAATGACAAAAAGAAAATTTACGAGAAGCATTTTTTTTTTTACAGGAACTAAATTTCTAAATCTTTAAACCCCTACCTATAAAATAAAACTGGAAATAAGGGAGGAGGAAAAAAAAAGTCAAACGTTAAAACTAGCAGTTGCTCTCACTCTGAGACGCGTCGCTGAACTCTCTGGTCAGCATGTTGGTGGAGTCTTCCCAGAAGTCATGCATGATGTTCACGTCTCCGTGCCGGTGCTGGAGTCGAGGAAGAAAAATGAAAAAAAACAAAATAAATAAAATTACAACTTCTATTTCTCACCCTTGGGAACAAATTTGTTTTAAGTTTAGCTTTAGCAAGAGTTTTCTGGCACTTGCAACACATTAGGTTGTATAAGTGCTAAAGATTAGAGGTGTTACAAGGGAGTAACAAACATAAAAAAGAAGGAGAAATCAGGATGATAGATATTTGCCAGGAAAGAAGGAGTAAACCCCACCAGAGCACCCACCAACCACCCACTAAGAAATTTGAATTACAAAGGCATTTTACTATGGTACACAACAAAACTTAGAGGCTACACCAACATCACGTAACATCCAGCATCACATCAGAATGTGTCGAACAGTAAAGTATGTTTTACGTTTTACATGCCACACAAATAGGAGCTGCCTCTCCTTCAACAAGATATTTGTGCGTGACACGCTTAACTGTCTAGTTTTCTAATCTTGTATGTACAGCCTTTTTTCTTCGCAGAAGAGCAATTAGCTCCCTCGGTACAAGCTTCAGTTGAATGAAGTGAAGTTTATTTTTCTGTGTTTGTTGACCCAAATTTTGGTCCAATTGGATGTAATGTGTTCTGTAATTTTCTGTTTTGAGTCGAAAAATGGAATTTTATTGTTTTTGTTACTTGAAAGCTTTAAAGATTCTTTGGCATAGTGGTCAACAGCCTCATTGCTAGCACTACTGACATGGCTGAGAACCTCTTTTATAGTAGGAGTTTTACAGTACTTGCAACACATTTAGGTCCCATAAGTGCCGAAGATTTGAGATGTTACAAGAGAGTAGTAAACACAGAAAAGGAGGAAAGATAAGGAAGAAAGATGTCTGAAAGGAAAGAAGGAGCAAACCACACCAGAGCACCCACCAACTACCCACAGGCTGGGAAGCCAAACTAGAATAGGGGTTCTGCCAGACAGATGAAGAAAGTGCAGTTTAATTAAGAGTGAATCTTTGACCTTCAGCAGAAGCAGAATGCGTGAAAAAGCCTTGTATGTGCCTAAGCGGTTGCAGTGCTATACATCATCTTGAGAACTGCGTGGATAAATTGTGAGGAATTGGCTCAGAAAGCACAAATTGTGTCTTAGATATTAAAAAGATTTTTTTTTAAACAGCCTTTTTAATAAGAACCGCATTGTACCAAATGAGAAATAAAATTTAACTCATTCGCTGCGCCGTGCCGTGAGGGGTGGCAAGGATAAAGTGCCGTCAGTACGCTAAAGAAATGTAGGACTGTTTTTTATAATATTGATACGATTGGACTCATATTGCCAATGCACTGTTATTTAGAAATCAATATTTTTGAGTGCCAGATCTAGATTTAGGTCTAGATCTAAATTGTCAAAATATTTTTTTTCTACCCAAAATCACTAATTTTTTATGAAATTACACAAAAATTGCCACTCAAGACATGTATAGGTTTATTGCAAATGCAATTCTGAATAATTCCATATTAGATACGAGTGGGTTTTTATCTGTTTGTGATCGTTTTTCAAGATTATAAAAAAATTGTGTTTTTTCAATATCGGATGTTAGGATCCAAAAGTACAAATATTATGGAATGTGTATGTAAATAACTGCAAACTTTTCAATATTTTCCAGTTCTATATTCATTTTTGGTTATTTTGATGTATCATTTGACTATGTGCAAGCATATTTTTTTAGTTTCATCAAATATTATAAAGTTCTTATTAAAAAATTTTATCCACATCCAATCAAAATTGTGTTGCATAATCGCCTCTTACAGGAACCAAAGTTGATAAATACATAAATAAACATTACAGATGTATTAGTATTCTACAATCCATACTGAAAATATTGGTATATAATATGTTGAAATGTATTTGAATTTGTGGCCCCTAAGACCTTTTACCTGCCAAGTAGTCATCATCTCATTCGCTCTCCCGAAAAAATTTCGTCCACAAGCCGAAAATAATACGTAGCAAATGAGTTAAATCTATCAAGAGTAGGCTTCATGTTAAAAAGGAGCACTTATGTAGTCTCACGTACCACACATACAAAAAAAAAATTTTTTTTTTAAAGAAAAGTTAGAAAAGAGCTAGACTTACTTTAGCTATTTCATCTATGAAACAGACATGAGTTACTGGATCTCTTTTCTTGACCAGGACTTTCTGTAAATGTTGAACCTGAAACACAAACGAAAAAAAAAATACCCATAATTTTAGTGACAGTTTAACAATTAGGTCATATAAGTACCGCCGAGGAATTCGCCGAGATGCCAAAAAGAAAAAATCACCTTATGCATCTCCCCCTCTCTCTCTCTCTCTCTCTCTCCCTCTCTCTCTCTCTCATCCATCAATACAAATGATGACCTTTTGAAAAAGCACTAAAACTAATACTTTCCGCACAGTAATGGTAGGCAAAGCTCATATCCTGCCAAGCTTGTTTGTTTTGTTTGAGTAATGAGAAGCACACTGACACGCTGGTAACCATTTAGTGCTGGGAAAAAGCAAGACAGACACAGAAACAACAGAGAAAGTAAGGAAGTAGGACCTATAAGTGGCGCCCTCCAACCACCTGCATCCTGCCATGCAACAGCTCTTTTTTACGGCACTTGCAACACAATAAGGTCACATAAGTGCCAAAGAATAGAGGTGTTACAAGAGAGTAACAAACATAGAACAGAAGGAGAAGAGATCAGGATGATAGAGGTTTGATACGAAAGAAGGAGCAAACCACACCAGAGCACCCATCAACCACCAGCTCTTGGCTGGGATGAAAGCTACACTGAACATAAGAATGAGCAGATCACATCCGACTTTTTAAAAAAAATTTTTGTTTCATATGCATTTTATGGCAATTGCAGCACAAATGGGTTACATAAGTGCCGAAGATTAGAGGTGTTACAAGAGAGTAACAAGTACAAGAAAGAAGGAGGAGAGAAAAGGATGTTAGATGTTGATAAGAAAGAATGAGCAGACCACACCAGAACAACTGCCAGCAATTGATAAAGAGCCAGCTCCAACTCGCTCCCCATGAGTAGATGGATAGAAGGAGGAATGGAGGGAAAGAGGAGAAATAGACAACATATAGAGATTCTTAAGTTCACCTGTGCATGGTTGACGGGTGTTCTGGTGTGGTTTCTTTATTCTTTCCTATCAAACATCTATCAACCTGATCTCTCCTCCTTCTTTAATTGTGTTTGTTACTCTCTTGTAACAGCTCTAGTTTTTAACACTTATGTGACCTAATTATATTTGCAAGTGCCAGAAAACACATACTAAAACAAACAAAAGACAAGTGGAAGAAGTTCTTCGGCACTTAGATTACCCAATTGTGCTCCAAGTGCCATAAAACTTTTGGAAAAAAATTAACTACAAACTTAAGCTTACCTGAGCACAAGCTGAGTAAATGTTGTCCATGAGTTTCTCCATGTTGGTCCACAGGTTAGCCCGCAGTGCTGCCGTGTTGCCCGGAGATGGCATGGCCGCCCGGCCCGGACCACCTGATTGTTTTTGTTAGAGGAAAGAGAAGCGAAGCGCGTTGACACAACAATGGTCATTTCGTGCTGGAGAAAAAGTCAAACAGACACACTCAGACAGTCAGAAGTAACAGAGGTAAAGTGAATAAATTGGACCTATCAGTGGTGCCCTCCAAACACCCATCCAGACCACATGAACCTGGCACATGATTCATAAGCTATTACAAGCAAATTTTCGCCAGGGTATTTTTGATTGAGTAACACATAAAAATAATAAAAGGGACATGTTTAGAAAAACACTCTGGGGAACAGGCATATGCACAAACACTTAACATCATAACAGTTTTGGTAATAGAAAAGTCATGTTGTTGTTGTTGTTGTTGTTGTTGTTGTTGTTATTGTTGAAATCCCAAGCTGTTGAGAGATTCACTCTTTTCAGAAAATGTGAACTCAACACCAAAAAAAAAGAAAGGGAAGGGCAGGAACTTATGTGTATGGAAAAGACTGTTGCAGCAATACCATTTCTTAAGAAAATTATATAATGAAAAAAACATATTACAGAAAGAGAGGGAGAGGGAGTGAGAGAGAGATATGGAGGGGGGAGGGGGGAATAGACAGACAGACAGACAGACAGACAGACAGACAGACAGACAGACAGACAGACAGACATATGGACAGTTGGACGGACAGATGTATGGACTACTATTTTTATCATTGATGGCCTTTTGCATCTTGACAGGCAAACGTAGAGAAGTATGCATGATACAGCTTTGCCTGGGTGGTAGACATAGAGTAAGTAGATTCCTCAAGTACTACTTCCCTCCCTTCTGATCTTGACTTCCTTTATATGCTTCAAAGGAGAGACATCGCCAATATGTTTGGAATCAAAATAGATGTAAATGTAAGGTTGTGTCTTACTGTATAAAAGGAGCGGGCACGAGCCGAGAAGAGTACCCGTTTCTCGTGAGAACGGCCCTTCCTTTCAGTGCCCGGCCACTAATCTACTAGCCGGAAGTGAGACCGCTCCTTGGCTTGACATAACGAGTAACGAGAGTGAGAGAGTGAGAGGCATCGACGAAAGAGCGGCACAGCCAGTGAGAGATGACATGCAGACAGTGTCACCCATCACCGTGCCATGTGTCTGAAACTTAAAGGGAAGGGAGAGGGTGGCGAGACGAGGTGAGTGGGGAGTTGGTCAGGGCTTAAGCCTAGGCCAAGGTCTCCCTACCTTCCTTCACCGCCTGCGCCTGCGCAACAGGACTAGCCTAGTTTAGATCCCGGCCACGGCCGTCCTTCTCGCTCAGCGATCTGCTAATCCAAAGGTGAGAGACGAGAATTAGGTCACGAGATGAGAAGGTCTTCTCAGGACCGTCACCGGTCCCAGCGAGAAATAGGTCAGGTTCCCGGTCTGCTCCCTCGGGAAGAAAAAAGTGCTTCCCGCCCTCCTCTACTGTATATTATACAGCATTGTTATCATTACCATCAAAGTAACACCTCACACAACCTGTACTTTTCCATTATGGAAACTTCATTTAACAATTAAGTGTTTTATGTGATGTGATGTGGGCCAATGGCCTTAAACACTGAATAAACTTAAAAAAGAAAAGTAATACCTTCCAAAATAAGAGAGAGAGAGAGACAGAGAGAGAAAGAGAGAGAGAGAGGGGAGAGAGAGAGGGGAGAGAGAGAGGGGGGAGAGAGAGAGAGAGAGAGAGAGAGAGAGAGAGGGAGAGAGGGGGGAAAGAGGGGGGAGATAAAGAGGGAGAGAGGGGGGAGAGAGAAAGAGAGAGAGAGGGAGAGAGGGGGAGAGAGAGAGCCCCCATTCCAAAACTAAAAGCAGACTGACCTCTGCCCACAGTCCCCTGCGACATGGTCAAGGCTTGTACGTCGAGGCAGGCCCGGACTTGCTGATGCAAGGTCGCCCGGCAACTGGCGACCATCTTGTCGACTACACTGTGCAGGGAGCCTAGGTTGTAGAACACTTGTAACGACGTGGCCACAGCCGTCTGGTTCTGAGAAAAAAATACAATGCATGGCGTCACTTTTCACCCAATCCTATGACTTTAAGTTCGCGTGACTCAGCAGCACACCAGAGCTCCCGGGTCCGAGGTCATGAGGTTAATAAGCCCTGCAGCGACTTTGCTTTCAGTCACACTTATCCAAGAAAATTCACAATTTAGCGTTGCCGACTTCAGCGTGTCTAACGAAATAACCAGACCAAGTTACAATGTCAGTTCTTTTTTGAGCCTCAAGAACAGAAATGCATGCTTTGGTAGCATTAAATGATTATTACCATAAGTTAAAGAATACTCCTAAAACTGTAAGTTGAAAAGTACCAAAAATTAAGTCAGTCTAGTCAGAGCCGCTACAAGGAGCTGACACCCATCACCCTGACATGATAAGGCGCTCAGAACCCTAAGCTGCAACTAAAATTCCACTGATGGTGCACCACGAAAAAAAATTATAAGAGACCACTTTCATCTGCTTAAGTGGGAACATTTAGGTAACAACATGTACATAGCTTTCACACTTAATATAATTTAGAGGTTTTGTTTTAGTAAGAGTTTTACAGCACTACATTTGATAGGAAAGAAGGAGCTAACCATACTGGTGCACCCGCCAATGACCCACTAATTTAAAGGCAATTTCATCAAAGTCAAGCAAAAGACAATAATATGATAACACCATTACAGAAAATATTGGGAAACATGATTACTGGTAGCTGTAATGTAGAGCAATGTCCTTACCCTATTTGTAGCTGTTGTAGCTGGATGAACGGAGAATAAAATACATTTCCTCAGGAAAAATGTCCTGTCCAACTAAACTAGGAATCAAACTCTGACACCACTGCTGGCAACATGAAAAAAGGGACCAAAAAATTAGCACTGACCGCTACAAGGTCACTACATAGCCATCACTGCCTGGGACGTCATAATATTACAGGAAGAAAAAAGGAAAAAAAAAAAGAAGCGGAAGAATCAGGGCACAAACTGAATGACAAATGATGCTCCACCAGTACCTGAGTCTCCATGCCTTGTTCCAACATCTTTTGTGCCTGGCTCTCTACTTCTTTCCTGGCCTGCTTGACGAAGCGTCGGTCCTGCTCAATCACCTCCACACCCCCCAGGTCCACCCCCTCGCAGATGTAGTCTGTAGATCAAGAAGAGATGAATAGGAAAAACAATATCCCTCAGTTTTAGTTTCGTTTTAGTAAGAGTTTAGTTTCGTTTTAGTTGCACCTGCAACACAATAAGGTCAATAAGTGCCGAAAATTACAGGAGGTAAAACATAATTATACACCCGTCCATTCCTATGTTCACCACAAAAGATGACCACAGCGACCTGAGCAAGAAGTCCTTCACCCTGTCCATGCTTGAACAAAGATACCCACAAGAAGCATGGATAAGGATCTATACGGACGGATTTGCCACTGATGCTGTGAAAAGAGGAGGACAGATTAACTGAGCAGGATGGTCCAATTTATGAGAGATACCAGACTTCAAGTGTGATGCGATCGAGAAGAAGAAGACAGGAGGTAAAAGAGAGTAACAAACACAAAAAAAGAAGATAGATGGTATTTTTTTTTTTGGTAAGTGTTTTACGGCGCTCGCAACTGTGTAAGGTCATATGAGCGCGCGAGACACACCAAACATTTTCAATTGGTGGGAAATTTTGAATTTTGCTCGAGTGGAGGCTGAAGCCTACTCTTATCGATTTCAGACCACCAAGGGATCTTTAATGTGCACAACTAGCACACGGGCCCTCCGAGATTTTTCACCCTTGTCCGAGAAGGCTAAGTGTAGATCTTTCCTACCAGAAGATCAGGGGTGTGGCTGAAAGACAGCATTAAGAAAGAGCCGAGGAGTAGCAGTAGAAAGGCTGCAGAAAGAGTCAGGAGCACAGAGGAGGGGGCAAAGGAGGTGATGGGGTGGAGGCAGAAAGAGGAGACGAAAGGAGACGACAGAACGTTGCTAGTGAGCAGGAAAGGAGGTGAAAGGAGACAAAGGAGATAATTTTACAGAACAAAATTTTTCAGTCGTTACCCGGATTCAAACCCAGGACCTTTGAATGAGAGGCCAGCACCTTAATCTCCATGAGAACCCCAAACACACCTTTGAAGATATAAAGAAGAACTGAAGTGGGGGAAAAAAAATCTCACTGGATCAGCAAGAGATGAAAAGAAAAGAAAAAAAATCTGTAGTGACTCTTTCAAAGTCCCTCTCCATCACAGGTGTAGACCATCCACACTAAATGGAGAAAGAAAACAAAGATATTTTTGTGATTTTTCTACCTCCTCCTACCTCACAGTTTTAGTCTGTAAACCAAAAATTTTTTTAATAGTTTCACATTATTCCAGTGACTGTTTCTACAGCCCCCTTCCTCACAAGTTGTAATCCGTCCACTATGAAGGGAAAAAGAAAGCAAAAATTCAAATTATATTTTTCCAAATCTCGCGCCCTCCCAAAAGTTATCTTTTAAATGTACGTGTTTTTACAAATCCATCGATTTTATTTTATAGGCAGGGATTTGTTGTTGTTTTTTGCAGTAATGTTTTAATACCCAGACAAATTTGAAAAACAGTCATAAGCTGGGTTGTCAGATGATGAGCTTTCTTTGGCCGAGTAGTGTAATGAAAGCTTTTTCCTTCTAATTTTGAGGGATGGAATGTTGGTTTTGTCCTGGAGGTTCTTCACAGGAGTCGTGTGGAAAGCCCTCAGAGCAAGGCTGTATGGGACCCAGCACATGAGGTCTTGTTGATCCATAGATTTGACAGCCATAATCAAACTTGGATTTGACATTTGAACAAAGTAAAGGGAGATGAGGTATTTTTTAGCCTCTGCCTCACTCCGAATGAGACAGAACTTAAAGAAGATATAACTCACACAGTCTTGGGAGTTTCCCCCCAAAATGTACCCAGAAACCAGTCATTTTGGCAATTATGAAAGGGCCCATTAGTAACCATAAATATCAACCAATAATTGCTTTCAAATTTGGCACAAAGTACAACCTAAAATGGAACTATATTTAAAGTAAGTAACTTCAGTAGTTTTGCTTTCGTGTGTTGTACAAATTTGGTATTTTGGGAGGCTTTTTTTTCATGGCGAATGAGCCAGAGCAAGCCTACATTGATATTCAAATATACTTGTAAGTGTCTATATATTGTATGTCATGTATAATAAACACTGTTGAATACTTTCATGAATAAAATAATTTATGTGTGAGAAAGGCAGAAAGAATCGATTGCGAGATAAGCTCAGCTAATCAGCGTAAACAAACGTGCTGAAAGCCCCTTCACAAAAACAACAATTTCTTTGTGTGTATTGACAGTGGAAACAAAATTCCAGCACCCCTCTAAAGCAGAATTGGTTGGGGAAATAATAAAAGGAAGAGGCTAGCCGTACTTAATGACGGCTAGACTGGCAGTCTAGCCGTACTTATTCTTAATATGATGGCTAGACTGACCATTTTGAAAAAATAGGCCTACTGAAATGTAAATATAAATTTTTAGTGTACAGTACCTAAAGTATTTGTATTTGAGACGAAACCAGGTGCCTTAATGACAGTGCATGTATTTTAAACCTCCTGTTTTCTAATGTTAATAGGGCCTAAGATAAGTACGGCTAGATAGGGCCTAAGATAAGTACGGCTAGACTTCTTGGCTAGCCGTACTTAAGTACGGGTAGACAGCCAAGCTAGCCGTACTTAAGGAACGAGAACGGCCCAGGACAAGAAATCTTTTCCTGTATTATGTCAAATCTGGCTGCAGTGCACATCTACCGGATCAGCAGAAGTGTACTGCAACGGTCTTTGACAAGTAAAACTTGAAACCATTTTCATTTTATCACTTTTCAATTTACAGCTGTCTTTCCATAAAACTTATTTGAGGATTTCTGAATCACCTGTATATCAGAAAGTCGTCTACGTATAACAAGCAGACATGAGCAGACCATGTCATATGGGAGGGTCTGAAAGATGGGAGTATATTCATATTTCAAAGAGGAGAGGAGAAAGGACGCTTCCTCTTGAAACTCTTTCATCCTGCTGATGGGAATCGGAAAGAGAAGATCCAACACGCACCTTGAAAGAACGGTTGTGTGAAAAGTTGCTGATGAAGGCAGGAAGATAACCCTACCTGTAATGCCTTACCCAGTTCATTTAAACTCTGTGCAGCTTTAGTGATCTCTCTTGCTCCTCCCTCCAGCTGAGTGTGGAGTCGTTTGCTGAGGTACATGATTCGAATCATCCTTCGTAGCAAGTCACATGTTTCCTAGGTTTGAAAAGAAGCAGCAAAGAAAATATTTTCACCTACAGGCAGAGAGTACAGATCATTTCCAAGACACAAATTTCTAGGAAAGGAATATTCCAAACTTTAAACTTTAACAAAATAATAATTTTTTAAAACTTAATCCACTCCTGCACTTCCTTGAAAGAAGAAAGACAAGTAAATGCTTGGTTATACTAGAATACACTAGAGTTACCTGCAGATGTCTCAGCTGAGTCGTCCTGGCCACAATCTTAGAGTACGGCTCCGATACCTTTGCTCTCACCCTGGATAACAAAAGACACGACATTATAATCCAGATTCTAAATACGAATTCTTATTTTAATTTAACAACCCCTATTTCAACTAACTGTAATAAACATTTTTAGCAGCAGGAGATGTCCCCCCTTTACTGATGAAGTACGTCAATGAACATCTTTGCTGGGATTTTCGCATGTAATATTTACTATGCCGCATAATCTGTACCTTTTTCCCTTTTGCTTTAGGGGGCTCCAGTGGCTCAGAGAGTAGTGAGTCTAGACTCAAGTAATGTCAAGCAATTGCCAGTGACACAGGGATCAGATGGGTGGTCACTGAGGTGTGTCCTTGAGCAAGACACGACAACCTTAGCTCAAAATACAGGGCGTGGCACAGTGGCGACAGACAGTGGCATTGCTGTAAACTGTTCTGTATGTGTGTAATTTTGTGTATTTATGTATGTATTTATGTATGTACATATTTATAATTATGTATTTATGTATGTTTGCCATTGTAACAACAAAGTGCCCTTCTGGGACAAATAAAAGTGTAATTTATTATTTATTACTTATTTACTTCTTTGCTCCTTCATTTTTTTCCCTTTTCCCACTGAATCAGGGAGCGCTTGTGGCCTAGAGGTTAAGGTGTTCACCTCTCATTCAATAGGCAGTGGGATCGAATCCAGATGGTGACGGAAAATTTCCTTCTCTAAACTTTTCTCCTTTCACATCCTTTCCTGCTCAATAGAAATGTTCTGTCATCTGCTTTCGTCTCCAGTTTCTGTCTCCATCCTCTCACCTCCTTTATGCCCTCCTCCGGGCTCCTGACTCTTTCTATAGCCTTTCTACTGTTACTCCTTGGCTCCTTCTTGCTACTGTCTTTCAGCCAAACCCCTGATCTTATGGAAGGAAAGATCTACACATAGCCTTCTCGAACAAGGAGGTCCCGTGTGCATGTTGCCCACATTAAAGATTCCTTGGTGGTCCAAAATCGATAAGAGTAGGCTTCGGTCGCCATCCAGGCAAAATTCAAATTTCCTGTCCTACCAACTGAAAATGTTAAATGTGTCTCACGCGCTCATGACCCGAAGCAGTTGCGAGCGCTGTAAAACACTTCCCCCCCCCCCCCCCCCCCCCCCCAAAAAAAATAATAATACCACCGAATCAAAGGCAGTACCACACACATTATAACTGTAAATGTTTTGCATCCCAATCAGCACAATTCAGGTCATTTAGGAGGTGGGCTGCTTTGACCCTGTCAGTCATGGCCAGCCTGGGCCGAGAGGGATACGACACCTCAACAGATAGATGTTGTTGTTGTTATCGATACAGCAACAGCTGGGCTCTCGCCCTTCTGTCCAGTGCCATGTAGTGATAAGTGCAGGTTTGCTGCAGTTACTGTAATGTTCCATAGAGTGTGTTGTCAATGTTTAGGTCTCGGATGGAGAAGGGCAACAGACAGAGTCGCCTGCCACCATCACAACAGGCCTCCGTGTTCCCCAGTCTCTGTTTTGATGTATTATTTCATGAAGCTGTACACGTCTTCAAAGTATGACGTAGGAAGTCTTACGAGTAATAAGTCGTACCTTATTTCTCTATGCCTTTATTAGACAAGCAGGGTCGGAAGCTCGCCTCCTAAATGATCTTAATTGTGTCGATGAGGGCTTAAAAAGAACAATCAAAATTTTAAAAATAAATAAACAAACATTATATTTTAAATGACACAAGACAGAGGAAATATTCCACAAAAGACAAAAAAAATCTGAACCCACGGAGATATGAGCCTGAAACTTCCATGGCATATCTTTAATCAGGAACACAGGAACAACATGACCAGGACAAGACAAGATAAAAATACTAATATTTAACAAGAAAAATGAATGTTTATAAAGTACCTGTCCATAGAAGCCAGGAGAGACTGTATTCTTGTCTGCATCATCTGAAGCACACCTAGAAGAAGGAGAAAAAAGTAAGAGGGCTCATAAAATGTTTGAGATCGTGTAAATACTATTCATCATTGAACTCCCAAAAAAAACTTAAACACTACATTTTCAGGGATTTTTACTCTTATCAAAAAGTCTTTTTTCTCGTAACAGTGTCTCTGTGTCCCCTACAAAAAAAAACACAGAAAAAAAATGTGCAAATAATAAAAAAGATAAAGAAAGTTACTTCTCTTAACCTAATGGAAAGACTGAAAAGAATATATGGAACTTCCATTATGCTGGAAGAACAGATGAGTGATTGATACGGAGTATTAGTGACATTCCCCTTTTGTCTTCAGTTGGCAACATGCAGAAATATGTGACTTTAAACGTTTCAAGTGACTCTTTTCATCATTTATAACCCACATTTCCAAAGCACACAAAAAACTTTGATATAATTGTGAGGCATCATGGTGAAATCAGGCACTCATTACAATAATGAAATCAAAGAAACCGGCATTTTTTTCTTCGCGTTTGGCAACTGTTTTCAAATTTTCTTCTTTAGTCTCAACACCTTACACCTTTCATGTCCATTTAAAAACATATTTCTTTGTTGATTTTTCTGAAAACTGTTGATTAAAAAATGTGAATTTTCAGTTTCCAAGGTCAAGGACTCTTTTGGTAAGTGTTTTACAGCGCTCGCACCGGCATAAGGTCATTTCAGGGCACGGGGGACACATTAAATATTTTCAGTTTGGTAGGAAATTTTGAATTTTGCATGGGTGGCGGCCGAAGCCTACTCTTCTCGATTTTGGACCGTCTGGATCACCAAGGGATCTTTAATGAGCGCAACTTGCACATGGGACCTAAAAGATTTTTCACCCTTATCTAAGAAGGCTAGGAGTGAGATCTCATTTCAAACTATGGAAGTCAACAATCTTTGGTGGCTATTTTCTCGCTAATATTACTGTTGAAAACCACTGACCCCCACCTCCTTCAATCGCAAATATCTCAGCTTATATTCCAGATAGACAGGTATTTTTTTATCAAACGGTCGAGAGTTACAGTTTGCAAAAACAAATGAAACCTCTGGAACAACAGAATACATCGCAAGACTTTGATCTGATTGTGCACAAGTACACACCACATACAGTCGAACCTGCCTGAAGGGAAACCTGTGAAAAACGGAATCCTGTCTTAACAGAATCTCCCCGCTCCCCCCTTGATATATTCCTCTTTAATTACCTGTATAAAACGGAAACCTGTCCAACGCAGAAACAGAGAGAAAAATCTGCTCCCTTCAAAGGGTTTTTACCTGTCTAAGACGGGAAAATTAATGCTTTGCCAGATCAGCTCCGATTCGAAACAAAACTCGCATTTTTGGTTCCGCCGGCTCTAAACTTTACGCCATGCCGCCAGGCGAGGAACGAGAGAAGGGGTGCAGTTTTGGGGGTAGACATTACTTCATCTATGTGAGCCCTGAGCGATGAAGAGGGTCAGGGTGGTGTGGTTGTGAAATCTCACGAGTGTCAGTGAAAGTGCTTGAGTGGCGCTCCAGCACGGAAACTTTCATTGGTAGCCACAGGGCCAGAAGTGTGAAATTAGTTTGACCAATGCCTGCCGCCCTGATCGCACAGCCAGCCGAGAAAAGAGATCCTCGAATTGTGTTTACCTGGCAGCGAGGGGTGACATTGGTTGTCTGTGCTTATTAATTACACCGATGGGTGGGGATAAGGGTGGAAGCAAAGGAGATGTTCAAATGCTTCTGTATTTCATAGGTCAAACAGTGGTCCTATGAATTGCAAGCACTTGTGGTAACTGGATTAATAAGACTGACGCATGTCATTATCAGAGAGGATAGCAGCTGAGAGTTGTGAAGTTTTCACCACTTCTGACTGCTTGCCGACCGGACAAGCGATCCTTGATCCCACCGGCTGGGCCTTTGAACTAGAGACGGGCGGGAAACGCTTTTTCCTTCCCGAGCGAGAAGACCGAGTAGCTGACCTATTTCTCGCCGAGACCGGTCCCGGGAACGAGAAATACTTCCCGTCTCGTGTCTCGAGTCTCGAGCAATGCTTCTCGTCTCGTGACCAATTTCTCTTCTCCTCCCGCAGTTCAAGCCGCTCGTTCAGCGAGAAGGCCGGCCGTGGCCGAGATTTCTCTTCTCGCCCCACAGAACGAGCAACCCGTTTAGCGGGAAGGCCGGTTGTGGCGGGGATCTAAACTTAGAAACTAGGCTTGCCCTGGTGCGCAGGCGCAGGCGGTGAAGGAAGGTAGGGAGACGACCTAGGCCCTGATCAACTCCCCACTCGCCTCATCTCGCCACCCTCTCCCCTCCCTTTCAGTTTCACACACAGGAAGGCACGGTGATGGGTGGCACTGCCTGCGTTGTCATTTCTCGCCTCTCACTCTCTCACTCTCGTTACTGTTACTCGTTATGTCAAGCCAACGAGCAAGTATCACGTCTCGGTACCGAGCAGAAGTTTAGTGCCCGGGAAGTGACGGGAAGGCCGTTTCCCGCAAGAAACGAGACTCGGCTCGTCTCGTGCCCGCCCCTACTTTGAACCCCTTCCCCCCCCCCTCTATCTCCCAACTAAATCCCCCTGTCTAAGACGGAATTTTTTTCTGGCTCCCTTGCGATTCTGTCTTACATAGGTTCGACTGTACTACGCACCCACTGTAGCTAAATGTCTCGTTTCAAACAATGATACTTTAAAATTCTCTCATTCATTTAGGCTGTCACAAAAAAGCAGGAATATTGTAACACCTTGTCAACCTAATGTTTGCCTTACTCCTGACTTGGGCACTTCTTAAGTCTAATGTTCTAAGGGCAAAGTGGCACTGAGCGACTACAAGGGCTCAAGGCGAAGAGGAGGTTACAATTAGACAGCTGCAAGTGACATAGTGACTTAGACTGTTCAGGTCTGAGAGTTTTTCTCCCATTATACACCATGAAGGTTGGCAAAAGGTTAGGATCGCCAAATTTTTAAAAAATCAGAATCAGGGGTATTACAATCATATTTTCATAAAACTGAATAAAAATAGTAACAATTCTGCCAAATTCTTAATGTAAGGATGCTTCTAATTAACAGAAATATAAACTCTTGGGATCTGGCAACAATCAATACAACAAATTACACTGAAGAGTTACCTTCCAAAGTTTCCACACCAGTAGCTTGTGACAGCAAGTCTTCATGGTGATTCACAATCTGAGGAAGCAACACCAAAACATCAAAAGGTTAACCAAAAAAAATCCAGGTTTAATAAAAATGCAAACAAACTGAAAATTCCAAAAATAAAAATTTTGATTTAATAAATATCTAAACGAAATAAAAATTTCAGCAACATTTTTAAGCGAACAACACTAAAACTAGGTGTATTTTTCAAGACATTTAAAAATGCTTTTTCCAGCTGAACATAGAAGACTATTTTGAAGGTGGAGAATTTGTAATTGGTTCCCTAAACAGGAGAACCAAGAGGAGAGGAAACAGATGATTGATTTTTCTATTTTAATAATCATGAAGGGTTTCATTTTTCATGATAATCTATCCAATTAAAACTGAGTTGGTGAAAAAATTTCTATCACTTTACCTGAGAATGGATTTCTTTGTCCAGCAAACTGATGCCTTCAGCTAGCTTTCCTAACTGTTCAGAAATCACCATTCCTTGGATGGCTCTGTTAGCATGGGCTTTAACGTCAAAGCTCTCATCAAGAAACTGGCGAAAGACGTCTGAAACAATTGGATGATAAATTATCTTACATGGTGTGCATAGACAAATCAGACGGTTTTTAAACATTTATTAACAATAATGACATACTATACGTTTTCTTCATACCAGTGGCAGAAAAATGTTCCAGGGGCATAAGATTAGGACGTACATTATTCAATCTAAAACATTTACAGTCAGTATCCAAAATATATTATATAAGTAGTTGGATGACATTTCAAGTTAACACAGGACATTGTATTGAGAGGGCACAGCTTAAAACATATTTCCCAACATCACACCAAGTCAGAGTAATGTTTTCAGACAACTAGGACCAAAGTCATCACTTTCTTAAGAATAAAAATGGCTTACAAATCAGAAGAGAGATAAATTTATATAGGTAACAACACTATCAACAATGTGCACCACGGTGACTTCCCAGCTGACTTAAATTTTTGCCACAGGTGTCCATACTTATAATATCCATGTATGCCCTCTGCTCTCTGTGTGTGTGTGTGTGTGTGTGTGTGTGTGTGTGTGTGTGTGTGTGTGTGTGAATTATTTTTTTAATCCTGAAATATCACGTCAAGGACTCAAAGTCCAAGTGTCTACCCCCCCCCTTAAATCTCGAAAGCCGCTTCAACCAGTGTGCATGAATTTAAGTTAACCCCATCAACGGACGGTCCGCGACACACGCGAAACTCACATGCCGAAGTCACGTAATGCAAACGCGCAATTGACACAGATTTACTGAGGAGTCTTGATGATGGGCGCGACTAACTTGTAATTGGACAGAGCTTGTTTTGAAAAGTAGCAGCAGAACTACGATTAATATAATTTATCATTTGTATGTCACAATTGAAACATTTATCAGGCCATCATTGGAGAATTCTGAGCGGAAACAAAAGCAAAAGTAGATCTTGAGAATGTCCCAGGTCGGAATGCCAAATCGATACTACTTCCACTAGGTTTTGTGAAAATAACATATATGCGAGCAAAGATCCAACACAACTTTGGCCGAGCCAACTACTAAATCTGGCATCGATATTTCGGGAATAGTGCTCCGAATTACAGTTGACAAAAAGTTTAAAGGGTGCTTCCCGCGACAGAGAAGAAGACAGAGTAAGTTTTAGTTTTAGAACAATCCAGCGCAACAGACGGCGCAAAACACGTCAGGAGCTTCGTTAAACTGGCCGTTTTCCTCCAGTATTTTTGCAAAGTCCAGATGCATTCATATCTGTGTACGGTCCCGTAACACCACGCCTTAGCACAGGTAGGACGGTCCACTAGCGCCAAACACTATGGGGGCATACAGTCCCCTAGCGCCAAGCGTTATTGGGGGGTACGGTCCCCTAACATCATCATCAGCCGAACTACAATATTATCAAGTAGAAACGATGGCTACTACTACTAGATCTAGTTCTACATCTAATCTAGATCTAGATCCTAGAACTGGCGTTTCAAATTGCACGGGAGCTATTCAGAACGCGGCGTTGCAAATAGCACGGGAGTTATTCAGAACACGGCGTTGCAAATAGCGCTTGCCGTATTCTCACCCCGGGTGAGGATTAGCAATGTCAATAGCAGCTCAACTTCCCAAAATAAAACCTAAAAGTAATGCATCTTCGTGCAAAAGTGACCTAAAGAATCTATAGAGAATTCTCTATCATTTAGATCTAGATTCTCTATCATTTAGATCTAGATCTAGATCTAGATCCACGTTGGTTATAAAGAAAATACACTTGTAAACAATGATCTTTTACCATCTTCGCTTAACTGATTCCAAACCTCGGCCTCCATCTTGTCACCGTGTACACATCCGGAAGAACAAAGTAATCGATCAATTTCAAAGTCGAGATTTAACTCCTGCTTTGTGTTTAAATCCAAGAAATTCTGGTACAATATTTATATACTCTTGCTTCAGATATATACATGTATATATATAATGATGTAATACACGTTATTATTATAATTATCATTATAAGAAGCTCGTGAACACGCTCACCCTAGGCTTTTTTATGTCATATAAGCGTCATATTTTATGTCCAATACGAAATTTTGTTAAAATAACTTTGTCTCTTCCTTAGAGGCCCGAGATTTTCATGGACCTAACTATGGGCAATATAACCTAGGTGTGGGATTTTACGCTGACTTCGGAATCTTAGCCGACGCCCATGGGGAAAATCTATGGTGACTCATGGTTAGGACCAAAATCAGTTAAATGATCCTCCCTTACTCGAATATGAGCTGACGTAACTCCTGGTTGGGTTTACAACTCATGTCGAGGATCCGAAAGAGTGGTCAAACTAGATGAGCAAACACGACTGCATTATTATTATGGGGCTTGCTATTTTTACTTTTATCCAAATTTAATCATGAATCTCAAGATCTACGTCTATGCTATTGCCCTCCTCTCTACCTGTCTAAAATGTACAGCTTTCTATCTCTGACCGAGTCACCATTGTTTGGTGACCGCACCAATTAAAATTCTGTCTGTCTAGCCGATTGCTTCAATGGTCAGGGAAACAAATCAAAGCTACGGAGAGTTAACAGTTTGATATGTGATCCCGCCTGTTGCGGTCGTGTAGGCCCTGTCCAAACAGCTTGTGATATAAGTTCAGGTGAAGATCTAGAGTCTCGAACTCAAACTCAGAATAATAATAATATATGAATATTATGCACATTGCAAGTGCAATATCCCAGGAAAACGAATCGCGTCGAGAAGTTCACACTTTAGTATGATCCCGTGGGGCAAACATTGCACGGTTTCTTCGAAATTTATTGCAACGGAGATGTGGTCATATTCAAGACAATGGATGATCTGTGACGCAACGGGCAGTAGGCTACCTAAGATGTCTGTCATGGGCAGTCGCACATTTAGGCCTACACCACGTTGATCAACTGCGCCCGCTCGGGTTTTTGTTCCTTAAATTATTATCTGAAATGCAGGACCTTAGCTGAATGTAGTCCTTCCGAGGGAGATCTTAGGGTGACTTTTAAGTAAAAAGTATGTTTAAAACAGCTGGATCTTAAGCGAACCGAGATCATAAGCGGTGGGGTCTGAGGTGGAGACTACCGTAAATTGTGCTGTGTGTACAGAGTGGCGTCTGAGGGATGTGGCTTGCGGCTTCAGCCTTACCTGTTAGCTTCACTAAAATAAAAACAAAACATTTCACAAAAATTGTTAAAGGGTCAAAGCACAACACATGTATTGTGTTCTGCTGAATGCAAAACTCCACGAATACCTGCAAATGAAACTTCTGAGGCATCGTATCAGTAGGCTACTGGAAAAGGGATGATTGGTCTGATGTATACTGCACTATTAGTCTACTATCAAAAGACTATATTATAGCTCCGTTCAATCAGGCGCTCCTTCCGTTGGAGAGAATGAAATTTCATTAGTTTTTATTTTAAGCTGTAAGTCTCTAAACGCGTCCGGAATTTTTGAAAATGATATTTTGGGGGGGTTTTCCCCTCCAATGGGTTTCCCCCACCTCCTCTACAAATATTAAAGTCATTGAACAAATGAAAATTGCACTTTTTGCCATGGATTCTAAACGCGCGTAACAGGATTTCACCTTCATTTGAAACTCTAAACGCAGAAGTCTCAGCCCGGCACCTTAGTTCAAAACAATAATATTGTTTCATTTTTGGTTCAAGTAACAGCCTAGTAGGCCTACTGATTATGCCATTTCTTCCATCATATTAAGATGTGTATATAAGATTCTTTTCGAAATTATTATGTGTTTATTTAGATAAATCTTTGTTTTGTGTGATACATTGTGACATCAGCGTTTAGAGCTTACAAAGTCGCCCGCAATTCTATAAGCTTCATGGTGACTTGCGATGAGATTGTCAAGACTTGCGCGTTAAGTTTTCATTTAAAGTGTTAAGCCCATTGACACCTTTTAGATCCCAATAATATAGATTAATTATTGAGTATTCTTAGTCACAGATTTAGATCTCATCTATGTTGATTAATTGTAGGGTTTTAATTAGTCATAGATGTATCTCAGCAATGTGGATTGATCATTATTATATTTTAACCTGCTATAAGATAAGTGTTTCCCAAAGTCAAACGCCCTTGAAAGTGGGGATTATTTTTTAAACATTCAAATTTACTTTTACTCTAGAAGAAGCATACTTTATAATACATTTAATAACGTATATTATTATTTATATTTCTGTCATGAACCACTTTTCACAAGGCTATAAACTGTTACAGCTGTGTAAAAAGGTAGCAGCAAACCCTCCAGTGAAGCCACAGTCAAGGGGACATACCCAGCACCTCTCTAAGGGAAATGCCAGTCCTCACTCATCAGAGGGACATGCCCACGAGTCTTCTTTGTGTGAACCACTTGACAATTTTTCTGTTATATAATTTACTCATTTGTTTGTTTTGTTTGTTTGTTTAGTATAGGGTTTTACGTCGCTCGCAACTGCATAAGGTCATATGAGCGCGCAGAACACACCTAATACTTTTTCGTTGGTAGGAAATTTTGAATTTTGCCCGGGTGGCGGCCGAAGCCTACTCTTATCGATTTTAGACCACCAAGGGATCTTTAACGTGCGCAACTTGCACACGGGTCCTCCGAGATTTTTCACCCTTGTCCGAGAAGGCTAGGTGTAGATCTTTCCTACCAGAAGATCAGGGGTGTGGCAGAAAGACAGCAGTTAGGAGGAGCCAAGGAGTAGCAGTAGAAAGGCTGCAGAAAGAGTCAGGAGCCCAGAGGAGGGGGCAAAGGAGGTGAGGGGGTGGGGGCAGAAAGTGGAAATGAAAGCAGACAACAGAACATTGTTAGAGATCAGGAAAGGATGTGAAAGGAGACAATTTTAGAGAAGAAAATTTGTTGGTCGCTACCCGGAATCGAACCCGGGACCTTTGAATGAGAGGCCAACACCTTAACCTCTAGGCCACGAGAGCCCCTTACTCATTTGTTAGACATGTCAGTGAATAGCAGTGATTTAGTGTATTTTTTATTGCAATGAGGCTATTGGGAAGAATGTTGTCACTAAAACTGCTGCTAACCCGCATGACGATAGATCTAGTCATTTTCAGAATGTTCTTGATTTGAGCATGTCTATAACTATACATGATGATGGAGAAACATGTGAATGTAAATGATGGCGGAGAAAAGGTTCTTGATGTGAAAATATGTGATGCTAGAGATAAGGTTCATGATGTGAATGTGCGTGATGGTAGATATGGGTCTCTTTTTGTGAAAGCTGATTGCAGCAGAGAAAATGTTCTTAATCATAATGCGAATGCATATGACGGTGGAGATGAATTATTTTTTTATTCCAATATGTATGAAGGTAGAATTGAAGCTTTTGAGTTGTTGTCAGTGATCCTATAGGGGAAATTGTTGATTCCAACATGTATGATGGAGATTTGGATTTGAATGTCACTGACCAGAGAGGTGAACATGTTGATTCCAATATACGAGTTGATAGAGGTGAGGTTATTGTTGACCAATCATGTGGTGATGGAAACGACAGCGATAATGTAAGAATAATCAATGGAAAGAAGAGAAAGCTTGGAAATGAAAACTGGGAGAGAGTTGTGAACACAAGAAACGTGCAGCGGGGCAATCTTATGAAGGAAGGGGATACACTGGAGGAGATACGGGGTTTGAGAACGTTGAAAAGGATGGAAGAACCATGGAGGAACGATGCTCTTGCTATCAGTGTTCGAATGTCACAGAAGAAGGGAGGTAGGAAATATTTTATTTCTTATTGTCGCTGCCGTGGCCAGAGAATGGTGTATTTTTGCATGGACATGTATGCGAGGTGCCAGCCAAACAGAGAAAAGCAGCGTCTGCAGCATCCTCTAGGACTACGTCCCTGCAGTATTTTCTGAAAACCAGTTGAGGCAGATTCAGGGTCTGCTGTCAGAAGTTTATGTCTACAATAAAACTCAATGGTACGGTATGTGAGACACCATCGCGGAGGACCAGGTGATGGCTTATGAACAGGGAATGAGTCTTCTCGGAGACCAGCATCTGACTCTGATGCGCAATTACATCTGCGAGCCTTCCTTGAAAGTCTGTCTAAAACGGAGTCTCACGATTGCCGAAAGAAAAGCTCCAGGCTATATTTAGAGGCAGTTTTCCAGAGCAGGGCCGATCTATTTCGTCTCTATGAAACAAAATGTAAAGAAAAGAAGATGGAGGCTCTTTCTCGTCCAATTCTTGACGATGATTACAGAAAATGAATCTTTCTCTTTTCAAACCGGGCAAAGATCAGTATGATCTCTGATGAAGGCAATGTCGATGAAAACATATCTGGCTCATGGGCAGAAGAAAGAAAGGGCACAGCAAGAGGTGGCAGCAGATGAGGAAATTGTCCAAAATAACGACACGACAAAGATCATTACTGAGTATCTACTGTCAGTTTTGCTTTGCCCCATGCTGAAAGCATCGGCATTATACTATAGGACCAGAATCTGTGTCCATAACTTCACACTATTTGATTTAAAGTCACATGGTGCCCAATGCTATGTCTGGCACGAGGCGGAAGGGGGCTTGTCTGCTCACGAATTTGCTTCATGCATTGTGAATTACCTGGAAAGTGATCTGTCTCTTGATAGGTACATCATTTATTAATAATAATAATAATAATAATAATAATAATAATAATAATAATAATAATATTAATAATAATAATAATAATAATAATAATAATGAAGATCATTTCTATAGCGCCCACTCCCGTGTAAACAGCTCTAGGCTCTTTACATAAATGCATGTACGAACAATATTCATGCACGCGACACACACACACACACACACACACACACACACACACACACA